TGCTTATGTGTGGCGATTTGAATTTTAATGGAGGCCGTCAAATTTTTACACCTAATTGCTCATTTACAGTAATTCAAATTGCTCTAATCTTTGTATAGATTCAGGTATGATTTCTTAAGCAATTCGATAATTTTTACTGCATATTATTCTATTGTCGGATAAGAATTCATTTGAATTGAAATTGATTTCAAAATTTTTAGTGCATTATAGTGACTCTTCCGTGCATCATAACGTATTTGTAATGCATTTTATGTAGACTCTAGACTAATTTGTAAAGCATAATATGTATTTTAGTGAATTAAAATAACACTTCAGTACAAAACTCCAGATCGTTTGATTTGTAAAGTGTGATATGTTTAACAAAATGCCCCCAAGATTTTCCCAAGTCATACCACAAAAGATTGCACACCAAATGTTTGACAAAATGCTCCAAAGATGTCTTTGGTGCAAACTACTTCTAGTCTTGTTACTTGGGGTGATGTGATTTTGTTTATCTAATTTAATGATTAGCAATTTGGGTGCGATGTGGCATTTTCTCATTTTTGCACATAGGGTTTTACTCGATAATTTTTGGATTGTACTCGCTACGATTCTGTCACGATCTTACTTATATTGTTTTTTATTATTTGCTTGTCTTGATTTTGCTTATGTGTGAATTTGCATTTTCATAATTTTTTCATGGGTTTTGCAATGATTTTGCTTATGTTTTATTGAGATACAATATGAGTGATTAGCATTTTGAATGTGGTTCTTCTAAAATGCATTATGATTTCTTTTTGATGTGACACAGTTGGTGTTCAAGATGCAGTATGTTATATGATGATGAACTTGAACAATATGCATTAGTGAGTAGATAAAAAATGATGCAATTCTACCAGATGAGGATGCGTACAAACACAGAAATGATGGAGTATTAAAGTATTTATCCTTGTAGTACACTAATGCAAAAAGATGTTTGTCATTAAATATTGGTGCATATATAGTACTATTTTAAAGTGCACTCATATTACTGTGTGTTGCTGGCTTGAGGTCGCCGATATTGATTTGAGATGAGGATTATGGTGACTACCCTTGTTTTTGTTGCTGTTGTGGTGCTTCATCTTTCTGTGCTAGAATCTGTTGTAACTTAGGGCCTTTCACTAATACGTTGCATGTGATGTTGATTGCCACTGCAACAGTTTGCCGCTAAGTGATGTGGGGAATTGTTTATCGTGCTCAAATGAAGCCCATTATTGTTCTTATTCTAACAGAAAGGGATTGAAGAACTATGCATTGCACAAAAGGCTATGCATTCTTTCTCTAAGGCCATTTTTTTGTACTGTTGGTGGGGAAGAGATGAAAAGATTAAAAACAAATATGTTGGGGCCTTCTTGAGAGGATGCACCAAAAAACTTGTATTTAGAATTTTTAAATGTGTAGACACAACAGTTGCTTCATTTGCATATGATTAGTTTTATTTTCAAAAATAAAAATAAAAATAAAATATTACAGTGTTGCTTTTTTGTTATTAGGTAATGCACTAAAGTTTTTTTTCATTTCTTTTTATACAGATGCACTTATAGTCACATAGGCCATGTTCCCATATTTTTATTGTCGTTTGTGATTCTATAATTTGAGATATATATATAATCTCAATTTACCAAATTTCTATAATCAATCTTTGGGTGCAACAAATCAATAATTACTTATGTATAGAGTGCCTTTTATTCTTTTGTATCCCTTTTCATCATCATTGACATTGTTCATCACTTACTCCCTCTTCCAATAGAAAAAAACTATGATATGAATTGATATAAGAATAAATTAGAACCCCAAGTTATAAAGTTAATTAAAATATATCTTAAATGTAGTATGTTTTAATTCAAGAGCCAAATAATTCAATTTATAAAATATGCACTATAATTTTTTTAAACAAATCATCAAAATATTTAGCATGTTATACATATAATTCTGGGTTGTGCACAATTTGCACTACAAATTTCTTATAATGCACTTATTGTTTTATATAATGCACTAAAAATGCATAATATAGAAATATTTACAGTAGAGGATTGAAGCATCATGGCCAGCAAACAGTGCATTACAAATTGAGATGACATTCAACATTATCAATTTCATGCTATATGAAATAAGATTTTTTTGGAACCTTCAAAGATGCAAAATATTTTCATGAATAAAAGATTAATAAACTCATGAGTATTTAATTAATAAAGGCTAAAATGAATCTCCAATATTAATCTCTAATAATTAATTTCAGAATTTTTTAATTATCAAGAGTCATAATGCAAAACTTTTTAATGAACAAAATATACTGTTTTTTGAAAAATGAAGAACAAAATATTAATCCAATACGGAATAAGATTTCCTTAAAGATTCAAGATTTTTTAGAACCTTCATGGAGATTTGTTCGGCTTAGCTAAACTATTGGGAGGACACGTATGATGGACTATTCAAAATGATATTACCTTCATGCCCTTGGTCAACAACTTAATCCTAATTTAATGCACTATAATTATGGCTTTCCTTTTTAAAATCAATTTTGGAAATGCCATCTGCAACCAGCCGTGTCCCTCCGATGCTTTGAATCCAACCATTCTATTTCATTCTTATTTCTTTCACCAAGCACATTTAATTATTCTATCGGACTGCTTATTTTATACATAATTTCCTTGTAAACCAATATGTTTTTGAAAAATAATATGTAATTAGAAATATTTAATCGAGATCTAGCCAATGAGACTAATATTGAACATAAAATTTTGATATTATCTTATTTTTACATATTAAAGTAAGAAAAGTAAAATTAATAAATACTTTTTCATCTCTATTATTTAATTAAATAAATGTATATTATCAGGCTGATTTTTCGGGATGTTACACACTCTCTCTCGTAAAAAATGCATCAAGTTTAGGAAATAAATGATTTCTAATATCCATTTTTTATCAATTTATCTCGGGAAAATGCACTATAAATATATGATATCCATAATTACATATATTATGTGAATGCACTACGATGACCTATGTATGCAATGTGATTAGTCATTCTTTCAAATTTTATGTTATTTGTTTTTGGATTGGTAAATAATGACCTTAGAGTGAATTTATATCTATGAGAAACCTAAGAGTGCATTGCATTCAGAAAAAGTATAATATAAATTTCAAAATTAGTTTGCCTATGTGGGATTCGAACCAACAACCGTAATATATATCGCTCTACCATTTGAGCTAATAAGCACTAAAAAAATTTAAAAAAGACTTCAAAATTTGTAGCATTAAATGTGTTTCTTACCCACACTCAAATGTATTATAGAATCTTTTAAATGCATTATTGTTCACAAAAACTTCACTGTCTAGGATGCAAAGATGCATCATATTTTGTCAATTGAATTTCACTATTTGATTCACATTTTAAATGCATCACCGTTTGTAAAATTCAATACTAGAAAATTTTATCACAAAGAACTTTCTTTAAAGAATAAAAGGGACCCTTACCACGAGTAGCAACATCTCTTCAATGGCATGCATCTAACCTACACTCAAATGTATCACAAAATATTCTAAATGCATCATGGTTTGTAAAACTTCACCATCGAGACCATCTAAAATATAAGATGCATCATATTCGTCCAAGAAGAATTTCGTTATCTTGAAACAATAAAACTTATATCATCAAAGATATTGATAAATTAATGTATTGAACACACTCAAATTCATCAAAAAATATTTTGAATGCATTATCGTTTGTTTAAACTCCATCATCCAAAAATTCATTAATTAACTTTACACCAAATTTCCATTGAAAGGGCTGGGTGATTCTCAATAGTTGGTGCAGAAAATTGAACCTGAATCCATCGTTTACCAACTTTAAACACATTTCTTTTTATCCAACATTTACCAACTTTCTACTTATTTCTTCAAAGTCTTCATTTTTATCACTCATTCACAGTTTCATCTAATTTCTTGTATTATTTTCTATATATATGAAAATAATTTTTCTATATATATGATTTCAACACATTTCTTCAAAATAATTATTTTCATCTAATTTTTCTATATATATGATTTCAACACATTTCTTTTTATCCAACATTTACCAACTTTCTACTTATTTCTTCAAAGTCTTCATTTTTATCACTCATTCACAGTTTCATCTAATTTCTTGTATTATTTTCTAACTTCTTTTCAATTTCTCCCAAGTTTCAAAACCTTCCACATTTTCAACTCTTTCTAGTTATCTTTTTCAACTCCTAATTTCTTCCATCTCAAAGGAATAGGATCCTAATAGTGAAAACCTATATCATACATCCAGGTATACCTAGAGTTAGATACACCTTGCAAATGTTTATTTTGAATCAACGTAGTGTTCATTTTAAAACACTGTAGTGTTAATTTTCACTCATTAGAATTTTAATATTTATTTACGAACATAGTGTTATTTCTAAAACAACGTAGTGTTAATTTGGAAACAATATAGTGTTAACTCTGAAATTACATAGTATTAATTCTGAATTAACGTAGCATTCATTCTGAAAACAACAAAATGTTCATTCTGAAATATTATTTAGTTAAAAGTTTACCGTAATATACAATATATAATTTGCCCCTAATAGCACTATCCACTAATTTGTTACGAGTAAATGCTAATTCTGGAGACGGTACCTCAATTCATTGTACACATGTATGTTTAGTTAATAGTAAGTCAACTGCGAATATCTCTTTGCTAAAATAGTAAAAGTGCTAATATGTTAAAATGAGAGTTTTATACTTCATCCGTCTCTATATAATCCTCACGTGGGCATTGTAACTAGCGTTTCATTTGTTTCTTTGGATGCCAGTAAGATTATTCCATAATCCATAGATCCATACAACAATTTCAATGCAGCAAAAATAGAAAGAAAAAAATTGTGCCCTTAGAAAGCACTATATAGAGGTTAGCAATGGCCCCAAAGATGTGTTTTCAAAGATAAGTATTCAGGGAATAGTATGAACTGAAACCCAAACCAAGATTATCTTTATTGCTCGCATTTGAGAGTGCTAAAATCACAAAGAGTACAACTGGCATATTCCCCCTTTTTTTAACTTTTCATTATCAGTAGCAGAAAAATATGTGAAGAGGAGTTGAAATTTAAGGATGTGTGTTCACAATAGCTAACCTCTAGGCATAATGTGGACTGATGATGAGTATAAACTTGGAGATAAATTATGAATTGAGAAATTAAGGGGTTGAGCATTGTGTGAGCTCAGAGCTCAGCATATGATGGAGAAGGGCATCAATTCGCTGGCTCCTTGTCTTTGTGCTGCAGTGTACCATAAAAACAAATTCTGGATTATAATAATGTTTGGAAAACTTTGTGTGTGTGTGTGTGTGTGTGTGTTTTGATGCTTAAATATGCAAAAAATAGATTGTCAGAGGTTTTTCAACATACCCAAAATTACGACGTCTGTCCTCTCTTTGTTCCTGGATTTTTGCCGTTAGTTGATTAGGGTCAGTTAAGGCTCAATATACACAGAGGTTCACAAAGCTTGAAGATGAAGAGACTACAAATGGGATTGTTTAATGTCAGATTTACTAACCTTGTTCTCGCCATCTTCGAGCACTGCTGTGGTTTCCATATCCATCTCAGCTTGAAAAGCCTCCAAGACGAATGCTACAATCTGAATTATGAAATTTTTCATTGCAAGTAGCAAATTTGCAATAGTTATCATACAAAATTGTGAAATACCAGCTTGGATGCATGTTATACTATAAATTGACAATGCAACAATACTAGCATTAGAAATAGAAAAAGTAATGCAACTATAAACCGTTGCAAAATAATTTCCAAAACATCAAGGTCAAAGAGTTCAACTAATGTACCATGAAGAAACGTCAAATCAGACATAGCTAGACATATGAGGAGGATGAGGACTATTGGCCATCGTCTATGGAGTTTCTATAACTATTGCCTGATTATTTTGTATCAGCCCATACAAATGAAAAATACAATATGCTAAAATCAGTCAGACCCGAAATTTTCGTTGCACAATTTGGCAGCAATCCTGCATGTGACTACATGAGAATATGTCTACAAGTACACGAAAATTCAGACAGCTTTTAGATTGTCTCTGCAACTTACCAAATTTAAGAGCCATAAAACTGTGATAGCATAGAAACTGATAAAATAGACATAACTCCAAGAAGTCCCAGTCAATTCCTTGTAGCTCTGAAATAGAGAATGGTTTTGATAGTTAGTCGTAAATATTTATCAAGAGCATGTTTGCAAGAAAACAAAATACAAATCATACTTATTTTCAAAAAAATTACTCCCTCCATCCACAAATAAACTTCCTGTTGCGCGTTACGATGTTTGACTGAAGTTATTTTTGAATCATTTTATATGACAAAAGGTTTGAAATTTTAAAATATAAATTATATATTAAAAAACTATATCAAAAGATCTACAAAACTAGAGGTGACATGACTATATTATTTTATCAAATGGGTAAGGAAAATAGGCCAACAAAGTGAATAAAGTTTGACCCTATGAATAGTGAACGGGAAGTTTATTTGTGGAAGGAGGGAGTATTTCAGAAAACAGAAAGTTAGACAATTTTATTTCAAACTATGTTGCATCTCAAACTGCTTAAAAATTGTAGGTCATTTTTATTTTTGTGGTGGCTCGTGCTTATTAGGAAAGTACAAAGTATATTCTTATGCTCCAAAGTGAGAACTGTCAAACTGATAAAGACTGGGCTAGACACTGTTCACCAACATTATGGCTCCTGAGACTGAAAAGAGTACTAGATTATTGCACTTCGATTCACGGGGCAATAACTTAAGTTGGGCTTTCATTGGTCTGGTCACAGTTTTTTTGTATAATCTGTCTTTGTTTTTGTATGGGTTAGAGATGAATAAATGATCAATGTTTGATGCTAATAGAGCTGATTCGATCCGTTTTTCAATAGAATAGAGAGTAAACCCAAAAAGCTAACTCTAGTAAATAAAAATCAGGGCCTCAAATAATAAAGATCAGAATGTTGGATGAAGCATTCAATTTAAATCATCCAGGTATTCTCAAAAATAATTTTAAATGAAAAGGTTGATGGAATAAAATTGATCTAGTTATAGTACTAGGGACAAAATAATGTTTGCAAGTGCCGGAGTAGCTGTAATGAAAAGAAAGGTTGCTAAAAATTACAATACCTGCATCCATACTTGCCAGTTTCCCATCACCAACAGGTTGAAAAGTGTTACCATTCCATTTGGATAGTCATTGAAGTTGAAAAGCAAATAACTTGTTTGTGTCAGGAAAATAAACAATTTGAATATAAATGAGAGCACCTTGTATTGTACATATAATGAAAAAGGATTGGTTATAGAGACTAATTTCAATTAGACTTTATTGCTATTACTACTTCTAATCATTCACCACTACATATCTCCTCTACAGTGGATACACCTCAAAAAGTTCCCAAACACTTTTCCTTTCTCAATGCCTGGGTAACTCACTCTGATTTTCAAAATATTGTCCAGAAATCTTGGTCTGTGGACATAGCTGGACCTCCTATAGTTCAATTGTTAGCTAAACTCAACTCCACAAAGCAGGCCCTGAGTACTTGGAACAAAAAAGTTTTTGGGAACATTTTCACTAAACTTGAATCTCTTGAGAAAAAGGTTACCGAGGCTGAGGAAAATTACCAGAATAATCCCAGTGATGATAATCTCCTAACTCTAAAATCTGTGGATGCTCAATACATTCATTAACTCCATTTAGAAGAACTGTTTTGGAAACAGAAAGCTCATGCTCAATGGATTGAAGATGGTGACAGAAACTCTAAATATTTTCACTCCATTGTAAAAGACAGAAGAAGAAAATTATATATACATAAAGTGAAAGGAAAGGAGGGGAATTGGATCGAGGAACACTCTCAGATTACTTCTCAAGCTATTGATTTTTTTCAATCTCTTTTTTCAGAAGAACATAGAGGGGTTATTGACTATGGCCCTCTCTCTCCTATTGCCCATAGAGTTACTGCTGCTGATAACTTACATTTGATATCCACTCCCACTGTTGAGGAAGTCAAGCAAGCAGTTTTTGATCTTAATCCTAATAGTGCAGCAGGTCCAGATGGCTTCACTGGCTTATTTTACCAAAAATGTTGGGACATCATTCATATGGATATTTACTCCATGGTTTGTGGCTTTTTTGCTGGAGATTATTTACCTAAAGGCATGACTCATACTGCTATTGTTCTCCTTCCAAAGGTGGAGACACCTAATACCTTTGCTGATTTTAGACCTATTAGCCTGTGTAATTTCAGCAGTAAAATTATATCCAAAGTTCTTGCAACTAGGTTGGCTGGTATCCTCCCACATGTGATTTCATCTGCACAGTCAGGTTTCATTCAAGGAAGATCTATCATTGACAATATCCTTATTACTCAAGAATTGTGTCATGGGATGCAATTGGCCCATCGTGATATTATTTTGAAGCTTGACATGGACAAAGCTTATGACAGGGTCTCTTGGGCTTATCTTAATAAAATCCAGAGACAGTTAGGTTTTTGTGATCAATGGGTTGACCTTGTATTCAGGTTGGTTTCCAATATTTGGTATTCTGTGCTAATAAATGGTCAGAGGGAGGGATTTTTTACTTCTTCTAGGGGCCTTAGACAAGGTGATCCTCTCTCTCCAGGTCTCTTCATCATTGCAGCAGAATTCCTATCTCAGCTTCTGGATCAAAGGAGTCATAGCAAAGGATTAATCCCCTTTACTCAACCAAAAAAAATGGAGATTATTAGTCATTTGGCCTTTGCAGATGACATGATTATATTTACTTCTGGTAAGAGGAACTCTATGCTTAAAATCATGCAGGATCTGCACCTTTATGAGCATATTTCTGGACAATTAGTCAGCACTAGTAAGAGCTCCTTTTATATGCACCCAAAAAGTGCAGCTACAACTATTTCAAGGGTTGCTACTCTCATTTCTGTTCAACAGCAAGCCTTCCCCTTTTTTTATCTTGGTTGTCTTATTTATAAAGGGAGAATGAAAGTTAACTATTTCACTAGACTCTTATCCAGAGTCTCCTCGAATGTCAAGGGTGGCAAGGGAAACTGTTATCACCTGGGGGGAAACACGTTCTTATTAAAAGTGTGTTGCAGGCTCTGCTCTCACATATGTTCTCTGCTATTCAGCCCCCAAAAGGAGTTTTAAGAAAAATGGAGCAAAGTTTCTCCCATTTCTTCTGGGGTCAGATTGATGGTAAACAAAAATATCATTGGAGCTCTTGGGACCATATGAGTTACCCTCTGAAGGAAGGAGGCTTGGGTTCAAGCATGTAGTGCCAAACTGTGGTGGAACTTCAGAATAAGTGGTAGTCTTTGGGCCCAGCTTATGAAATCTAAATACTGTCAAAGAGTACATCCTGTTGCTAAAAAATGGCAGAATGGAGACTCCCACATCTGGAAAAGAATGCTCTCTATTCGACCTCTCATTGAGCCTTACATTGCCTGGAAAATCTATGATGGTTCCTTGAGTTTTTGGTGGGACAACTGGACAGGACTTGGAGCTCTTGCTAGAGTAGCTAATCTTGAGAATGGAAGATTTTTTCTTCAACCTCTTAAAGATTATTTGATTAATAATTCTTTTGATTTTCATCAGCTCTCAAACATTCTGGATCCAGGCCTTTTTATACATTTTCAGGTGGATTTGTCTCTATTGGGCACCAATCTCCCAGACAAAGCCTATTGGAAACCCAGAAATAATGGCTTATTCACATTAAAAGCTGTAAAGCAATTCCTTCAGCCTAGTATGCAAGCTGATATATTTCTACAGAATTGTTGGCATACTAATATACCTTTCAAAGTCTCTTTTTTATGCTGGAAAGTATTACTGGGGAAACTTCCTTTGGATTCTATTTTAACCAGATTTGGTTTGCACCTTCCATCTAAATGTTTGTGTTGTTCTATACCTGCTATTGAAGCTCCTGAACATGTTTTTGCTAATAGTGAGGTGGCCCATGTTGTTTGGCATTATTTTTATGATATGTTTGGTTTAAATGCTGAATCTGCCCACACTATTAAACAACATTTACGCATGTGGTGGGGTGCTAAACCTCATGCTAAAAAGCCCACTGTCCAAAGGTTTTTGAAGCAATGCCTGCCCATCTTCATTTTATGGGAACTCTGGGTACATTATGCTTCCCTTAAATTTGGTGATGCAAAAATCAATGTTGCTAGGGTCATTTTTCAAGTAAGACAAGGAGTAGCTGAGGCGGCCTGCAGGAAATGGCCTAAGTTGCTTACTGCTCTTCCTGATTGGAAAGCAATTTTTAATCTTTCTGGGTGTATTTCTAAATCCTTTTGTTTTAGATCTGTGCTTTGGCAAACTCCACCTGCCGGAATTGTCAAACTTAATGCAGCTTCAATTCACCAAGGGACTATCTGGGGGGTCTCATCTGTGGTCAGGGATTCTAAGGGACAGTTTCTATATGCTCATGGGGTTAAGGGCAACTCTTCCACTTTGGAGGTTACTCTGGTGCTTCTTATTTCTACTGTCCAGTGGTGTTTAGAAGCTGGCTATAAGTGTATTATGTTTGAGGCTGATTTTGATGATTTTTTCTCCTTGCTTAGACCTTCTTCTCCGTTGCTGGGGCTTTCTGATTATAGCAGGTTATCCTTCCTTTTATCGTGTTGCACTCATACTTCTAGTATATGTGATGAGGAGGCCAATAGGGTGGCGAATTATTTGGTGAGGTGGTGTAGTAATCAACTGCACCCTAGTCTGCATTTCTATAGTGTTTTGGAGCTGCCAATCTTTGTTCAGAAACTCTACCAGCAAGATTTACAACGAATTCCTAGTTTTGCAGCTTCCTCTTCTGTTTGAGTGTATTTGGTTGTAGGCAGTCCTATCTTCCTGGGGATACGGAGAACTTGGATTGTGGGTGTGCTCATTTTCCTTTTCCTATCTTGCTAGGGGATAGTGTGTGCGTAAGGTTGAAGTATCTTTTAAGCCATTACTGGTTATATTGGGGTTATGGAGAAGTTTTGGTATTATGGGTGAGCTTGTAATGCCTTTTCCTAATCTTGGTATGTGTGGTTTGTGGAGTGGGAAGTGGCCGGCTTGGATTGGCTTTATTTCTCCGTTGGAGTTTTGTCCACTTCCCTTGTGTTTCTATGGCATCAATGAGTCATCGTTGATTTGTTGTATGACTTTTGCGGGACTTTGCCACTGGTCACGCCTTTACTTTGTGTTGTTTCGACCTTATTGTGGCATTGGTCATGCCCTAGACTAGTGTGTTGCTAGTTAGGATCTTATTGTGGCTTTAGTCAAGCCTTAGACTAGTTGTTCTAGTTAGGACCTTATTGTGGCTTTGGTCAAGCCTTGTTCTAGGCTCCCCCACCCTTTCTTCACTTATTGTATTCCCCGGAAGGCTTGTCTTCCGTATGAGGGGCTGGCATTAGGCCTTGGTTTTGGTCCTCCCCTCACTTTGTGGTGACGAAAATATCTTAATAAAACTCGGTAAGGGTTGCCTAGACCTTACCCCACCAATTTTGGTGGTTTGCCCACTGGGATTAAAAAAAATAAAAAAAAATAGACTTCATTGCTAGTAACCATAAATTGAAAGTTCATGAAGCGAGCCAGTCATTTTATGCAGATAAAAGAATGCCTTTGGAAAGGATACTCATTATCAGCGAGATCAGTTCCATCTAAATTGGGGTTTCCGGCATTGACAAGCCCACCAAAGATCTGCATAGAGTTTAAGCACTCAGAACCGAAGTCCTTGTATTATATTGTAATACATCTATGACCACTAAAGAACCTTGAAGACAGAATAAGTATGGGGATATTTACAACTTTAAAAGTGAGACACGCACATAGGACATCTCATGCAAGTACAAATTTGAAATTGGGATAAAAATAAGAAAAGAACATAGGGAAATATTGATAGAGAGGAGAGTGCACCTGTAAACCATAAGAGCAATAAAAGCACAATACACAGAATATGGTCCCCAAGTATGGCATGAGACTTGGTATGAGAGTAAAGAATGTTGCAACAAAAGCACGATATCTTCGGACATGCAATGATAGCCTTATTAGACGTAGCATTCTTGCAATAAGAAGATACCTAATCCTGTAAAATCTTCATTGTCAGGAAGAAAGATTTAAAAGGCACCCAAGAGGATGAAGCATAAGGGTGTGATTTGATTTACAACAACAACATAACCCTAGTTCCTCAAAGGCTGCCACCCATTGTGGGGTGGGGGGTCAGATGTAGGCAGCCTGACCCCTATGTTTGAAACATAGAGCGGCTGTTTCCAGATGACCCGTGATGAGCGTCGAAAATTGCATTGACTAATTGATACTTGACTATTGGAAGAAGCACAGTTTAAAGAGCCATTTTGCTTTATTCCATCATACCCCAAAAACCAAAAAATAGTTAATCTTGGCTCCATGGGAGATGATGGAAAAAAGGGTGTGATTTGACTTAAGAACAGCTTTTTCAACTGTCACTTGTTTTATAGCAGAGATCCCTGGAGAAGCTTTGAATCAAAACAGTTCCCATTTATTAGAAAACTCAGAGCACTGCCTAAAATAAATGAATAAAAGAGTACTCCATCCATCCCATAGTAAGGTTCCCATAAGAAATGGGCATGCCATCATCACTCGAAAACCTTATCCGGGGACACCCAAATAAGGTAAGCAGAACCTAATTAGGAGGGGATGGTAGCTTTGTGGTTCCTCTCCCCTTCCCCCAACTCCCCACCAAGGTTTATAACCCCATCCCAAAAAAAAGGGACGAGGGGAGAATAGAGCAATGATTAAATGCTTATATCCAATTCTTTACCAAACTGAAAATGATGGTTATCTAGTTGCTAACATTACTTATCGGTGCAGTTTGCCAAATAAAAAATTAAAAACAAATGTTAGATGCAACATACCATGTAATGAAAATACTACTATTGTCAAGGTAGAAAAATGTACTACCTCTGTCCCACTAAATTTGGGACAAGAGAAAGTGGCACGTAAACTTAAGACAAGTAAAATTGTGTGGTTGATAATGAATGTGCAACATTTGAATGATTTTGAACCACACAAATATGAAAAATGTGGCATGGGACAAATATTTTGGGACATGCCAAAATGCTAAATGTGACAGCTGTAGTGGGATGGGGGAGTAATAGTTAAGATGCATTTACCATTCCCCATTAGATAGAAAAGTCTGCCCATCAGGAGCTGCAAATGTTATAGTTTCTCCAATAACTGCAAATTGTAAGTTAGAGTGTTACACCCATCCACAGAACTAGATACAACCAGAAACCTTGAGGATGATATATAATGATTACCATTTTCACTAACACCTAGTAAAGAAGCAAGTATTGCTATAAGAAATGAGATTCTTTGAATTCAAATTAAATATCAGGTCCACAGAAAGAAATTGCTAATAATCAGAACCTACAACTTTATGGGTCTAGGAAGCGTATTTAACCTTATGCGATTTATGTAATTATAATCCAAACTTTCATTGAACCCACCGATAATCCAAGTGACAACAAAATCAAAGCGATTTTGACCATCCCTCCAATAGTTCACAAAACCATACGTATAGATTTTCAATGCCATCTCAATCACATAAAGCCAACCTGTTGAAAAGAAAAAGTACGCTAATTGGCCTTCAAAATACATTTGAATGTTAATATAACCTACGACTAGATACGTTGGTGGGTCATATATGCAGAAATAAACTGTAAATTGAATATTATAGTACAAGTGCTACAAGTCACATGAACAAAGAAGGCTGTAAAAACATATAATTGCCTTTCAGCTCCATGCTTTTAGTTAGTAGAAACAAGCCAAGAACACATGCCCTGGAGTAGAAGAGTTCATAAAGTGGCAAGTCACAACTAACCAAGGCTTACCGAATACAAATTCCACCTTCTGCCATAAGGTTTGAGACAAACTGTCCTCTATATCGAGCTGAAATGTTAACAAATAAATTATCAGGATAGACAGTGAATTTGATAGAGTCTAAAAATGTTTAGACAAAAAAAACTGTTTGAAGTTTTCATGGGTGTACCAAACTTAAAGGGGAAAAGACTGGACATGTAAGAAGTTTGACCAGTGGCAGTTTGTGTCGAATTTCAACTTAGAGAAGAATATATGTGGGTTGCACATACCATAGTCTCAATTACCACAGCTACGAGATTGATGATGAGAATAGACACTATAATGTACCCAAACTTAGGGCTTCGAACAAAGTTTCGCAGCTTCTCAGATGTTGTTGAATGGTAGAGATTTGGAAAGGTTTCAAATATTGGCAACTGCATTTCAGAGTGCAACATGAATGACGAAGGCAAAACTTTATCAACGTTAATTAGTTTAAGTTAAAGAAGAAAATCTGACTCACAGATTCCTCCTTCTGAAATCTAAGTGAAATGGCTTTGCATAGATCAAAAAATTCATCCAAATCTATCTGAAGAGAGGAAGGATCACTGTAGCATTAAAACAATTTAAAACAAGGGAAAAAAATCATATTCCACAAGCTCTTGCAAAGAAATACTTAAGTATAAGGTATGTTCCACTGTCATATAAAACTAATATGAATACTTACCTCACTAAAGGTAGATCTAAAACCAATTATTTAACTCAAGAGTAACATGAGAACTAGATGTATGAGATTGAAAGAGGTTACGATCTCTAACCCCTGAATGCATACCCCTCTTGGATGAAAAAAACATATGTCTATCTCAGCCGAATTCATACCCTAATGTCAACACCAGCCGGGAGTAAAACAAGTAGTTCAAAAAACCACAAACCAAATATCTTAGCGACACAAAGATTAAACGGACTTTTAAGAGCACAAAACACATTCTCCAATGGTAAGAATGGGGCTGGACGGCTGTGGGAGAAGTTGCTGGAGTTTGAACACCATTACCAACAGTGATTAATGGAAAATGTTGAGGTCTGGACATATTTGACAAAAGAGAGTGATTACCAGAAACATAATCAGAAAAATCTTAATCAATGATCGACTTGGCACTTGCTGAAAAAGTATTAAACACATGCCAGTCATGCCTTGTGAGACATATATGCCTTATATTTCTGATGTTTCTTTAATTCGGTCGATAAAATCACAGCTGGGACTTATACAGAGTTGACTGAGTTTAGGCTTCCCATGTAGTTTCCAACACTTATCCTTGGTGTCACCATTTTTATGAAAACAATAACACTTTGATCGGTTCCAGCGTAAAGTTCCAAGAACAAAGGAAATAGATACAATTGGAACTGTAAACCGAAGTCAGAATAGCCTAGTGAAATACAGTCCAGAGCAGAAGTCAATGGCGGTGCTTGCGGGTGTAGCGTGATCTAACGTGTGACGAGGTCATCTTAGTGGCAGTATCTTACTATCTTTAGCAGTCATTGATTGCCGGTGGTTAGGTGTGACAAGGAACTCTGATGGTGGACTAAATAGTTTGAACCTCATACATGGAAAACACTTGTCATAATAGGAATTATTCAAAACTGAAAATGGAACTATTCACACTGGAAAAAGTATTCTATGCTGGAAATAATTGACACTGATACCATGTGAAAATTATAGAACAAGATATCAATATATTTCTTCGCACCATTCTTATAGAGCACAAGGGTATAAATAGCAAAACAAACATCTTATGACATCATGAGGTGACCTCATGTGTGCTTCCATGAGAAACCTTAAAGCTACTTCACACCAATAATTCCTTTCTTTGCAACTCAATATTTCACATATCAAGGAACCAACTATGGTTGGAGGGCACGCAAAAGGTTTTATACTCTAACACTCCTCGTCATCCGAATGCCATTTGGGCTTGAAACGTGCTTGCAGAAAAGGCTCCTCCAAACCTTGCGCATAAATCAACATGGGGATGCTGAAAATTCACTTGCTGACCTCTACCTCAACAAGTCTCACACCACTTCAAGAAACCAACTCATCAATCAAGAGCTTAAAGTATGGATAGAAACCTAGGAAAATGTTTATACTCTTATAGTTGTCACGATTAGAAATAGGAAAACTTTTATGCTCTTATAGTTAACACAATCAGAAATAAAAGCTGAGTGATAATGGAAAAATAATATAGGCACATAGCATGAAATTTGACAGTACCTTAAAGTCACGGGTGTCATCTAGCTCATCAAATATTAGTTCAAAATCATCTCTTGATATTTTAGGCAGAGACCTAAGACATTAAAAAGTACTCTTAGTCTCCAAGCTTTAATCCAACATTCGTAAGAACTAAGAAGGAGAAAAAAATAAAATATTAGCCTGCATGATGGAACTAAAACAAGGTTACTGATATATCTCAAATATAAGGAAAGCAGACAACATTGTAGAATTCAAAAACCAAAACAAGTTAAAGAGTTCCACATTGACTAGCTTGCCCCTCCTACCGAATTTTGTTAATTCCTTTTCCACCAATTCACGAAGAATATATTTTCAAACTGAATGCAAATATTGACAGGACTACAATATCTATTTCTAATAACCCTTTAGAAATCACCAATCTGAATGCTTCAACTAATACTTTTAGGGCTCCATAAGTAATGTACCTGTACTTATTAAGTTCCTCAAACAAATGGATGCATTGCTCTTTATTCAGATACCCACAGCTCTGTTAAATATCAACAAAAGAGAAATCATTTACACTATGTTTGGTTCTAGGAATTTGAAATGGAAAAGAAAAGAAAATGAGATGGAAAATAGTTTTTCTTGTTTGGATAGAGAGGAAAAGAAAAGAAAAGTGGAAAGAAAAGGAAATGAGAAGACAAAATATATTAAGAGGAGGAAAAATCAAATTCCTTGCATTTTGATGAGGAAAATGAGAGAAAACCATTTTCTTTTCTTTTCCTTCCAAATTCTTTGAACCAAACATAGTGTTAGTATTTTCAATAAGAGAGCAGCAACCTGTAAAAGTGTTTTTCCTCATTAAAGTCTGCCCAGAAGAATTACAAATTGTGAAGACCGTCTCTATGAAATGGTCACTAAACTTATAACTTAAGCAATTAATAAGTCATGAGACTAACTTTTATAGTGGTCTTTCCTTAAATTCTCACAAAGGGAATCCGTGGATATCTAATATCCTATCATTCAAAATAAGAAATGTTGATAATGGTGTATCTGGGGGCAGGCTGTTTGGAGGTTGGAGCACAAGATTTACAAAACAAAATATAAATAAAACTTTGAGAATATGTTTTTGCATATAACAATCATTTTACTTACATGATAATCAACCAAACTAAATGCTTTCTTCAATATCCTTAGCCTCACCCGATCCTTCTCAGCCACACGCTTGGCCAGCTATAACAAAAATCAATTAATTTATAATAAATAAAATAATTATATTCAAGTTAAAAAAAGAAGCAAGTCCCCTAGTTTCATATTAATGTCAACTGATGTAGACCTCATAGCTAACCTAATGGAGGAACAGTGCACACAGGCTAATGGGCAAGGATAGAAGGCTAGATAATTTGTATATTAAGTGTTAGTATTGTGTATTATGCTCTGTGTCTTTTCCTAATTTTATTCATCACATATCTTGATTTGCCTATGGATTTAATGTTGTAATCAGAGTCCATGAATATATATACATATACATATACATACATACATACATACATACATATATATATATATGTGTGTGTGTGTGTGTGTGTGTGTGTATCCAAGTGAGAACTCCCTTTAGGTGAGAACTAGTGAGAGCTATTAGTTCCAGCTATCAATTTGTTAAAATGATGGTTCCTACCCCCGAACCCCCTCATAAATTCCCACCCCAACCTGCCCCTTTCAGACCCCCTAGCCCGCCAATTGTGCCCTTTAAGTTTTGTTCACATTCTAGGTTGTTCCTACCCCGAAGTTGTTTTTACCACTTAGCCTCGAAGTTGTTTCACCTCCATTTGACCCCGAAGGTCCGAAGTTGTTTCTACCCCTAACTCCCGGTAAAGTGTAAACCCCCCACCCCGGCCCGACCTCAGTGCACCCCACCCCACCCCCTTCAGTTTCCATTGTAATCAATGTTTTTTAAATCCCAAAATCAACTAAATATGGGGGTGCAATTATAGGGGGTGGGTTGGGGTCGCGCCGAGTGGGGGGTTTACAGGGGGTTAGGGTGGTAGGAGGGGTCGAGTGGGGCACCCTAGTAAGAAATGAAGGGATGCATTAAGCGAATATATGTGGAGCACTGAACAAATATGTTTGCAAGTAAGAACAAGGCAAGTTAATACCTCACTTTTGAAGCTATCATATACAACAGCAAGAATCAAATTCGTGACGAAATAAACACCCAATAGCACATATAGAACAAAAAACAAGCAATACCATCGCGATTCCCTATAACAAATAAAATAGTATAGAATTGTCAGTGGAAAGGAATAATTCTCTGGTTATAGAAATGGTTAGAAATCGCACTGAAAAGGAAAATTTAAAGAAAAGACGAGTGTTTTCTTCCAATTTTATTTTCCTAATACATTTGCCTTCCATATTGAACAATACATGCTAGAGTTCAGTATGTAATGAAATATGATAGCATACTAGTCTAAGACACCTTACTTTTTCTTTTGTGCAGGAATTGAGACTCCTAGAAAGTTAGATATGGTAAAGTAAACACAAAAAAAAGGAATCCATTAAAGGTATTTAGATGTGGTAATGCAAGTATGCAACTTACTTGTATGCAGGTATCCAGACATCTGGATTGTTTGATGTCGTAAACAAAACAAACATCTGGGACAAGGTCGCACTATATGATGTAAATACAGTTTTTCCTTGTTGGGTGTCCTCAAATATGACATATCCTAACCAACTACAGAACAAAAGAAACAAAATTGACAAAACCTGCAAAATACAGAATAGAAAGCATAACATCAAGTATGAATGCTGATGAAAAAAGTAAATGGGTATTCAGTGCCATAAAATGATGCAGTGATAGAAAACTAGCTTTGAAATAATAACAACCCAAGTATAATTCCAAATCCGTTAGGGTCTCAAGGACAAGATGTATGCAAAAAATGGAGAGATTGTTTCCACTAGAGCATTCATGCATTTACTACCAAAAAATTTCACTGAAAAGTAAGAAGGCATGTTTAATAAGCCATTTTGATTTAGTCCATTATTTACCTGAAACTTCATCTCCCATGGAGCCAAAGATTCACAACATTTTGGCTTTGGGGTATGATGTAATAAAGAAAAATGGTTCCTTAAATTGTCTCTGCGCTTCTTTTAATAGTGACTCCAGCAATTAATCAATGCAACTTTCGACACTCATCATGGTTCATCAGAAACAGCTGCTCTATGTTTTTAAATATAGGGGCCAGGCTGCGTATGTGATTACCGGGGTTCTGTTGGGAAACAGCCTCTCTACTTTCGAGTAAAGGTAAGGTATGCGTCATAGTTGCCAAGGCGTCGCCTAGGTGTCCTGGCAGTCAGCTCCTCTCGCCGTGGTGTGTCGCCTCACCTTATTTCGCATACCTCGCCTCGCCTAGGTGTTGCCTTGGCCTCGCCTGGGCATTGACTCGACATCGCCTTTTCAAAATCCTTTATGCCTTTTAGTCAATGGCATATTTCATACTTAGTATGTACTTTGCACTAAGAAGTCGCATATTGTTTTTTAATCATATTATTTTTTTCTTATTGTGGTGTGTTTATATTTTTTTATGTGTATTTGAAATTTTGATTAGGTTTAGAGAACAAGTATGTTTAAATTTATATTTGTGTTACTTTGTTATACCAACTATGGCGGTACACTGGAGCCGCATTTTTCCTTGGGCCGTGACAACGGTCTGCATACACACCCTGCCCAGGGCCTACTTTTTAGGGATTCAATTGGGTTGTTGTATTTTCTTGAAGCTAAAACATTATCGATATGGCTCTTTAAGCTCCATTAGCAAAGGAAATGAGCTTTGAAATAGAAGAACAAAATTGACTGACGTGGTTATAGAGATACGAACTAACCATGACATTGAGGTAGGTACCCAACATTCCAGCAAGGATCAAGATGCTGTCCCCCAACTCCCTAATCTCAGCAAAATAAAAAATCAGATTATTAGAATTTTTTTTTTTGCAAAGGAAAAATTCAAAATCAGATTATTATTGCTCCCTCTGTCCCAGAATTATCGTCCTAGTTTGACTTTTGTGGTTACTTTGACCACAAATTAAATGTAGTTTTAAATAAATAAATATAACAAAAACTTGATATATCAAAACATCTTAAAATGAATCAAATTATATTAAATTTCAATTATAACTAAATATACTTTTTCACAATTTGTGGTCAAAATAACCACAAAAGTCAAACTAGGACGATACTTTTGGGTCAAAGGGAGTATTTGACAATCATCATCATTATTAGTACATTAATCCCAATTACTTGGGGATAGTGGCAGTAAATTTATAGTGCTAATTAATTGTATCAAATTACTTAACACTAAACTCATGCAAATAATACAACATCCTTTAACATATAAATATTTCCATTTGCACTTTTATGTTTTATTTTAGCTTCAAAGTTAATGTTTATAAGAACACTTTAGATGTTCTCACTTTAATATCTCACTAACTTTTTAATTGTCAGGAATATGAAACAAGTGATATATCTCAAATCCATTGTTAACGTTTACTACTTATATGATCCCTGTCTTGTATCATATTTAGTTCTCCCTTCGTCCTTGAAATAATTTTCCTATTCTAATTTACAAGGTTTGACTCAAGTAATTTTCAACTCAATTCACTACGTATTTGATAATATATGTAAAAATTAAAAATAAAATTTATATAGTAAAAAAATACATAAAAAGTTCTACAAAACAAGAGGAGATATGACAATTTTATACTCCGTATTATGAAATGAATAGTGATAATAATGGAACACAGTGAGCTAAGTTCGATCGTTTGAATAGTGTATGGAAAAACATATTTGGACGGAGGGAATAACACTTATTTGAATCAAATTTATTATTACTTTTTCTTTTAAACTTCAGTATCAACGACACAATTCCACTTTCTTAAATTGCATGCCAATTGCTACATCCCCTTGGAGTTTTATGATTCTTTTTATTGTTGTTGTTTTAATTTACTTTGAAGGATCAGAATCTCGAAGGTTCTCCTCACAAATATATAGCTTCTCCAAGGACCTCAAAAAAACTTCTCCAAGAGTTGATCATTGGAATGCCATGGAGGCGCATAGCATATTTTGGGTTACTTAAAGAGAGCTCCAAGGTGTGGTATTCTATGGCAAAGTCATGCACATATGAAAATAGAATGCCATACAGATGCTGATTGGGCAGGTTCAAAAGATGATTGACACTCATTGGAATACTCCAGCTTCAAAGTAGATTTGTGATTGTCTTTAAGATATTCCTTAGATTTATAATTTATAAAAGTAAAATTTTGAAGTTTTCTTCTCCACTTGCTTTCATCCTTCTTTGAGGAACTGGCTTCCTGACTTAGGTCATGTTCTCTTCATATCTGATTAGTTTTTATCTGAACTTATTAAGGTGTGATCTGATCTCATTCTAGTTAAGTTTAAAGTTGTTTTTTATCATTCCAATAAAAATAAGTAATACTCCCTCTTCCCCTTGTTTTTTGTCATTCTTACTTCTTTTAACATCAATATCAACCACACAAACTTACTATACAAACACCAATTAATATGGTTTGCATTGAAAATATCAAGCATCTTATCGTTCATACCTGATATTCAGAATAAAAAACACAACCCTCAAATAGGGTGCAGCCCTGAATGGAAGATAGTACAAGCCAGCTATGGAGAGAACATAAACCACCAGGTCTGCAACCAAAACTAACAGCAATAGGACCTGGAAGAGGAGAAGAAAATGAGTTAATCAACAAGGTATTACATTTACACAAGCGGTTTTCTGAAAAAATAATCAGAACTTGAATCTTCTAGGATCATGAAATTTCAATGCACTTGCTTTTACAGGTTATTATAATTTAAAATTTTGAGGCCTAAGTTCCGTTGTATTAATTTAATTTTTGAATCTTATTATGAAGTCCTAGAGAAATGTTATCCTTTTTTAGCTTGGATTTCGTATTTGTCCAGATTTTCAGCAAAGAGCCAGATCATGTGTTCCACATTCTCGTTGAATTGGCAGATGAATGAATGCATGCCTAATTGAGAACTACACCAGTTTCTAGCCACAAAGAAACACTTCTTGGCTGCATAGTTTGTAGGTTTACACAACCGTAAATTGTTTCTATAACTTATTCCAAGTTTTCCTTTTTTTAAATGATGCACATAAACAAAGAAATGGTAACCATGAGAACTAGAAGCTAAATATATCTCAAGAAACCAAAGAGAAGAAAGGCCTACCTTCAACCTATTGAGAATACTTCTCCAGTATATCTGAAAACCTTCATATGATATGGGAAATAAAACATGTGCCATGAGAATTAACAGAGTAACACCCTGCAAAACATTTTTTGGAATGAAAGAAAAGAGGAAAAAATCACTGTCAATGAAAATCGTTTTACTTGTTATTCTAAATACTTTTAAAATGGCTACCAAAATCTAGTCATCAGGTAAAAGAAATACAACTACCAATGCTAGATCGTACCGTGATGGTGAGAGAGCAACATTATCAAAAAAAAAAAAAAAGCACTAACTAAGCTTTATAAACACATGCAAGTATTATTATACTTGGGAAATTTTACCTCCTGAAAATTGATGCAGAGTACTACGATGAGCCCGTCCATAGAACATTGTCTTTTAAACAGGAATATAAATAAAATAATAATTCTTAACTAGTTTCAATAATGAATTGCAGTGGGGAAATCCACTTGTAAGATTCGCATTTACTCCGCCACTTGAAATAACCTATAGCTATACGTCTGTTCATCATTATCCTCATATTAATCAAAACTTATCACTAAGTTCATTCGGAAAAAAATAGTGGTAAGTTTTTTAGCTAGATGTTCCAAAGAAAAAATAATAGAGATGAAATTCCAAAACCGTCATTATCATAGGCTCTTTTAACTTCCATGGAAAATATCAAGAGAGGGCGATGAGTGAGATAAATAGTTGTTGTACTCATATCTCATTGCAAAATATAATGTAAAAATCAACATGCAGATCATCGAAAGTGACTGGAACCTTTTGCTCAACTTAAAGTCTTAAAACTGTCACATAGTAAAGGGTTGAAAAGAAACTTAATACGGATCTGACCTCATATATTAGAGACTCAGTGTGACTCAAGTATGGGAGCTGCCCAAGAAAGTAGTACTCTCTGTCACTACAGGTATATGCAGATTGTTTGGAGCACCATAGTGGTTTCTGATATCACAAAAGTTAATACAATTTGTTGGTCAATAAACAGAACACGCTTCAAGTTAATGTTCTTATTAGTTATTAACATTTCATACATTAGGTTACTAGTAAATACAAATCAGAGGATGAAGAACCAGCAACCGGTTGCAATACAAACCTCTAGAAAGTTTAGAACGATCATAGAAAAACAATTTAGGGACCATAGAAAATCAAATCGTGTAAAGACAAAGTATAACTTTGCTGCACTTGAAAAGCTTGATTGTTCAAGGATTTCCTCAGGTATGCCAATACCATCTTCAGCCTGCAAATGGATAACCCACAAAAACCTTGTTTAGTACCCACAAGACAAATATTACTCCGTCGGCCCCATGATTATGTTACCAATTTCATTTTTCTGTATGTACCAAATTATGTCTCATTTCTCTTCATGCAAATTACAAAGTATGATATGATTCACAATGTTTCTTTCTCCTCAGCATAAAGCTCAAACTGTACCCTAAATTTTGGGAGGGAGGCCAGTATAAAAATAGAAAATTGCTGCCGTCTAGTTATTTCCTCAACCTAGACTAACATGCACTCAATACTAATCATGCCAGAAAATCTCCCGTTGCCACATAAAAATATTCCACATTTTATTTCTTGTCCCAAAAAAAGGTTCCGCCTTCTATTAATGGAAAATTTTCTATGGCTCGTAGTATTTATTTATCTCCTCTGCACCATTTTCAACCCCAAAATTCTATAGATGTGTTGGTTCCATTGTGGGAAGATAAGCGATGAACTTCTTAACCTTCATATGGACCACACCAATCTTTGCACGCTAGCTAATAACAAAAAAAAAGTCTAATAAGATCTTAGTGGCATTCCAGAAGAAGGATCTAAGGGAAGGCAGTAGCAGTAAGTGGAAGGGCGGATAAAATTGGATTAAAAAGGAAATGAGGCGTACAAGATCAACCAGAGCAGCGGCCTTCTGGTAAATGGATCCGTACACAATCGCATCTGATCGGCTGCTGAAAGCGCCTCCCCTTAACCGCCGGCCGCCGCCGCCGCTCTCTCCACTAAGCAGAGCGGTCTCCATCTTCCCTTATGTATCTGACAAATCTGACTGTTTCTACTGGATCAATGTATGAAAATGCAGACACAAAGAAATATCCCAAATTGCAGGAGAACTGAACAGAGAAGACGACAAACACTAGCTTTTCTTTTTTCTTTTTTTTTCAGGAAACTTTACTTTTAACCAAAAATCCAGTTTATCCGTTTTCCGTTAAATTCTGGCAGTGGCTGACTGGCTCACTGGTTCTCCAATCTGCATTCTGGTTATATTCTACTCCGTACTTCCCATTGTGTGGAATTAGTGAATAAATGACTAAATTCCATAAAAGGTTCCTCTCTCTTCTCGCACTCCTTTCTCAAACTCGTCGCTGAGTTTGAAGCTTTGAATCCAAAACCAAAATCATCCCTCCTCTCCCAATTGTTCGTCTTCTTGCTGGAACCCAAAATCGAAACCAGTAACCTTCATGGATGAGTTTTAAGGTTTTTTTTCTTTGCAATTTCTTGAGACTAACCCATAAGTTCATCCATGAAGGTTATTGGTTTCAATTTTGAGTTCCACCAGGAAGATGAACAATTGAGAGAAGAGTGGTCGTTTTGGTTTTGGGTTTAGAGCTTCAAACTCAGCGACGGGTTTGGGATTGAGTATGAGAATATGGAGGAAGCTTAATTGAAGAGAGAAAAGTGTGAATATACAATTTATCCATGTTTCATAACGGAAATGTTAACATGAGACTATTTGTGGAAACCAATATAATAATTGGGGACTAAATTATTTATATTTGATATGTAGAGACTAAATATGTAAAACGACCTATAACTGGGGACCTTTTATGGAATTTAGTCATGAATAAATACCATATTTGAGTCAATAACATTACAGTAGTTCAGGTTTTAATTTAATTGAAATTAGTGTTTGTTAACTTTCTAATTACTGTGGTATTTAATTAAGAGTTAAAGAATTAGGCTACGTTCGCCTGATCTAATCTGATTTTTTGAAGTTATGAGCTGATCTAATTTGATCTGATTGCTTCTAATCTGGTCTGATCTAATTTGATCCTGATTGCATCTGATCTGATCTGATTGGATCTGATATGAATTTGATTAAAATTAAAATTAAAATTAAAATTTTTATTATTATAGTTATAATAATAGTTATAATAATAATAATAATAATACTAGAAATATTAATAATAATACTAATAATAAAATTAATAATAATAATAGTAATGATAATAATAGTAGTAATAAGAATAGTAATAATAATACTAATAATAATAACAATAATAATAGAAACAGTAATAATAATAATAATAATAATAATAATAGAAATATTGATAATAAAATAAATAATAATAGAAATAATAATAATAATAATAGTAATAATAATAATAATAGTAATAGTAATAGTAATAATAATAAATATAATAATAATAGTAGTTGATAAGTCGGGTTTGGGTTAGTTCTTTTTATTCTTTTTTTAGGCATTTTTAATATTTTTAGTGTTTAATTTTTAGTTTTTTAGCTTAGTTTTATTTTAATTTCCATTTTTACAATCTTTTAATTTTCTTTCATAATTAGTAGTTTTTAATCACTTTTTACATTTTATTATTTTTATTTTATTTGGAGAAAAATGTAGCAAAAGGCCAGAATAGAATTCAAGTTTGAAAAGAAGAGATTGAATTTGGGCCGGAGCCCAAACCCAATTCTAAAGAATCGGCCCTCATCTCTCTCCCCCAAATCCCAATTTGATTTCACGCACGGAAGGGAAAAGAGAAAAAGAAGTCTACGACTTCTTCCTCTTCGTAGATCGCAGGACAATCTTCTTCAACGCTCCAACGTCTCTCCGCCAAGTTCGCCCAAGCACTCCAACGGGAAGAATTCTTGGACTATAAATTGAAGACAAATCACAACAATTCAGGAAGGGGGCATCGCACCAAACAAGAAAGTGAGCAGCGGCTTTGGCCGCTGCAATTGACGCCACCGGAGAAGGAAGCAGACGGCGGCCGACCATGGCTCGCCGGCGTTCGACGAAGGTCGGCGGTGATAGGCCAACTGTGGCATCAACAAGCTCCAATTTCTTCATCTTCTTCATCTTCTTCAACAATTGGTAACCCTTATTTGTCAATTTTATTTTTTTTCACCAATTCTATGTAAAAGTTTGCTTTTTGTTCAATTTTTACATGTTTGTTTGCTTGTTGTTTTAATTTCAAAAATTCTTAAAAAATGGTTGGTGTTCTTTTATGGTTTTTTTCATATTTATATTAAATCCCTATATGAATGAGAATTGATTCGTACTAGTTTTCTTCAATTATTGTGCAAATTGTTGTTGAATTGGTTGAATCACATGGTTTGATTTCATAAGTAGGTTGGTATGTGGAATTCGGTTTTTGTTGAAACTATTTTAGCTCCATATTATAGTTAAATGATTTCCGAATTCATACGTAATTCTTCGTTGTGCTATGTGTTTTGTAAAATTTTAAGGATTATGGACTTCTTAGCTCCATAGGTTGGACATTTTTCTTAAGATTCGTTATGAAGTGATTGTTATGTCGTTCGTTTGTTTTGTGTTGATTTTCATAAAATTTAAGGTTGTTTAAGCACAAAAACAATTTTTAAGTTTTTGAAAATATGTAATGTTTTTTTATGTGAATAGATTACAATTCTTATGCTTGAGTTATTCAAGGAGACCTGCAAAATATTTTCATCATTAGACGTTAAAGTTTATTAAAGTGTATCAAATGTTCTTCATGAATAATTTGTGCATGGGAGTTAGAATGAAAGAAAGATTCACTCTTTTATAAACTTTTTCATCTTTTGGAATCATTGTTTGAGCGCTTGAGGTGAGTGGGGGTTCAAAGTGATCCAAAAGGCCTTTGAATCTTTGACTCCGGGCCTTATAGAGAGTTGACGATCCTCTATATGTGGTCAAGGATATGAATCAACTTGAGCCTTTGAATTCTTTTCTATTCTTAAGTGCGTAAGTTACGTAATATATTGTCTAAGTGCCTATTATACGTGTAATGTTCGTTTTGTGTTCGTTCTCTTTTTAATTTTGTTTCGGGTTTTTGGCAGTGTTTCTTGGGTTACCTAAGTTGGAAAAGTTGATTATCTTTTGAGCTTGTTTTCCCCCATTTTATCAAAAAAACCAAAAAAATAAGAAAAATCAAAAATAAAAAATATATTTACTTTTTATTCAACCCCCCTTTGTGTTGTGTTTAAATTATATTATAAGTTCTTTGTTTATATAAGTTATATTTATAAGTTTTATTATAAGTTTTATAAGTGTTATCATATGTGTAGTAGTTAATTTTATTTTCATATTTATTTTCGTGACAACGTGTTTGCATGCTATATTGGTTTTAAAAAGTACAATCTTTCTCTGTGGGATCGACCCTTACTTGCCCTAGCTATAGTTTTTATTTGATTATATCTTGGGGGTTAGCTAAGGTTAATTTATAAATTTTTAATTTGTTTTGGACCGCACGACGAGTCTTCAACAGTAGTAGTAATAATAGTAATAGAAATAATAATAATAATAATAATAATAATAGAAATATAAATAATAATAATAATAATAGTAGTAATAGGAATAATAATATTACTAACAATGATTGTAGTAATAATAATAATAATAATATTCATAATCATCATCATCATCATCATCATAATTATAGTTATAATAACATTAGTAATAATAATTATAATGACAATATTAATAATAATTATAGTCATAATAATAGTAATAGTTATAGTAATAATAATAATAGTAATAGTAATAGTAGTATTAATAATAATAGTAATAGTAATAGTAGTAGTAGTAATTATAATAATAAAAATAATAATAGTAATAGTAATAAAAATAAAAATAGTAATAGTAATAATAACAATAGTAATAATAAATGTAATAATAATAATTGTTATAGTAATAATAATAATAATAATAATAATAATAGTAATAGTAATAGTAATAATAATAGTAATAATAATAATAGTAACAATAATAACATTATTAATACTAATAGTAATAATAATAATAACAATAGTAATAATAATTATAATCGTAATATTAATAGTAATAGTAATAATAATAATAATACTAATAATGGTAATAATAATAATAGTAAGAATAAAAATAAAAATAATAATATTAATTTTGTTTAGATCTGATCTGGTCTGATCTAATCTAATCTGATCTGGTCTGATCTGATCTGATCTGATTTTAATAAAAATAAGTAATAAAAAGAAAAAATTAGTTGAATGGAACGCTGCCTTAGTGTAGTATTTGTTTGAAAGGCAATTAGGGCCCGTTTGGCAAGTTTTAGAGATATTGTAAGATATGTGTTTTGAAATCTAAAAAATGATAAGGGTTTTGATATCTGAAACAAAAATGTTTGGAAAAAGAGAGATAAAATTATTACGATCTCTCTTATGCCCCATCCACTATTATCTTTGATTTCCCTTCATACCAATGTTGCAAAGTTTATTTGTTTGGAAAGTGGAGCTGTTGTGAGCGGAAGTGTTGATCATCATAATGTATATACTGGCAAAATCCGATGTCTGGTTCTTGTGTTAATAATGAAGATTATAAAATTGAAAAAACATAAGAAGATGAAGATGGACGATGAATGAAGAAGAGACAATTAGCGATCGGAAGCTGGATCTTCAAATGGACCATGGTGAGTTGGGATGCGAACACCGACTGTGGACGGCGGTAGCTCCTCGAATTGGATATTTACAATCCATGACATACATTGGATGATGCCTGTTGACCAGAAGATAGATTCTTTACCAGAAGAAAAGTGTTATCGGCAATTTCAATTTTGGATATTGGCTAACATATGTTGATTCCAAGATGTGGCACTTTTTCCGATATGGGGCATATCTCTGGATATGGTTTGGATCCCTTTTTAAATTTTAGTATAATATCTTGTTTTATAAGAACTTTATCACAAAGTTATACTCTCTCCATCCATAAATGATCTTCTCACTTTCCTTTTCATGTTATCCAAAAATTATCTTCTCATTTTTTTTTTGTCAAAAAAAACACTAAAATGACAATTTCACCCTCCATTTCTTCCTCACGCCACTGTCCAACTTCTTCCTCTCTCATTTTTTTCTTTCTCTGCCTCCTCCTCTGCTTTCCTTCTTCCTTCTCCGACAATTACTTCCTTCTTCCTTCATCCCTAACCTCTTCTGGCTCTTTCGCAAATCAAGAGTCACAGGTTTCCTAGCGGCCGGTCTACTGCTCAGATATGCTCTTCCTTTACCGTTGCATGCTCAAATCTACACTTTCACCGACATTGATTTTGTAGATCTGTTCTTTTTCCATCTTTGTTTTCTCTCCTAGTCAAAATAGTCTCTCTTTTATCAATCATGTTCTGTTACAATTCTCGCACGGATTACAACGGATGGGGAAGATGAATGGCCCCGGAAAATAAAATTAAATAAAATTTTAAATTTATAATTTATTCAAAATATTACAAAATAAACAAAATTTAAAATAAATTTCTAGATCTTCAAAAGGCCTTGTTATATGAGGACATTAAGCACTGGACTGCAAGGACATTATGCACTGGGCTAAAGCAGAAAGTCTGGGACGACGACACTGTGAGAGGCAGCGAGGTCACTGAGACAGTGGCGAGGACATTATGGCTTGAACCAGATCACCAGCAAAGACATTATGGCCTAGGGCAGAATGCAGCGAGGTCGCTATGAGCTAAACCTGCAAAACAAAACACCGTGGAAGGACAGCGGAGTCGCCGGAGCTGTCCTTAAGGTAGTAGTGCCCGCCTACCGTACCGGAAAAACGTGGGCACTCTCCTCCCAAGATAAAACCGCTATCGTGTGTGGAGATTGTACGGACCAACCACACACCAACGAACAAGAACAACGTAGGAACGTTGGCGACCAAAACTTTGAAGGGATTGCCGGAAATTCAGCCGGAAAATCAAGAGCTCTCTCTAAAAAAACAAGAAAGTTTTTCCCTTTTTTTCCTTTTTTCCTCACGCATGAAGCACACCCGGAGAGCCCCCTTGATTTGTTTTTATAACTAAGGAATTTAAAAAATTTAACTCATACACAATTAACCCTTAGTATTAAACCATTGCATTTGTGGCACACTAATGACGTGTTAATTGTGATTAATTAGCTATTAACATGTCCGTTACGCTACGCTCCGTTTAAAATTTGTCCCGAATAATTGGAGATTAATGGCCAGTTAACTCCGTAAAAATGGACTAATTTTAAACAATACGTAAAATTAATAATAGAAGATTGGTTCAGTAAAATTGCAAAAATTGCAATCCTTACCATATTCTTCTATTAACGGGTTAACTCTGAGAATCAATTTCTCATTCACCCTCTACCATTTTTGGCGTATAAATTATTAAAAACATTTATCTCATTTAAGAGAACACACGTCCATTAATTAACGGTTAAAACCGTTAGTGGACCTATTGACAAATATACCCAAGTTGGTCCATTTAATGCTTATTTAAAATGCCAAAAATTCAAACAATCCCCACATGAATGAAAAAATTGATTTGGGGGTCGACAACATCCCACGGTTGAAAACCTGCAAAGAACAGGTAAGTGTCTCCACTTTTGAACATGTCCCTTGTAAAGTATACCTTCTTTACTGGCTGTTCAGTAGAACGCGATGTCTTTGAACTGTACTGCCATTTTTGTAAACGATAATATACCATACACAGATTCCAACCAAACGTCGTTCTGTTCTCATGGTTGTGCCCATTTTGGTCGTGGGACACGCGCCTGGTTCTGCGAGAGTATTTAGAGGATTAAGCCCAAGATCCTCCGTTTGAAGCGACCACACTTCACTCTTACATAGGTGATTCTTTAAGAGTATTCCGATTACTCCACTTAGACCACCGTGTCTATTGGTTAAGAATCATTAAAGCATATTTATATGCTAACCTCATCATTTTCGGGAGTCACTGTCTTCAACAGGAACAGAAGGGACTGATCGGAGGTTCCGGTACTGCCCCCACAGTGACCACGCTTCATCCTATAAGTAGGTTGTCCCATTGAACCTGGGTACCAGCCAGGTTGGGTTTTTCTTTCATAAGACTGTCCTAGCACAATGGCTTCAAACCCATTCCTGCCACCAACTTCTCATGCAACGCATTTGTTAACCCTTTGGTTAGCGGATCCACCAGATTATCTTTTGACTTTACATAGTCAATTGTGATAATCCCAGTTGTGAGAAGTTGTCTAATCGTTTTGTGTCTACGACGAATATGTCTAGACTTACCATTATACATGTTACTCTTTTCACGTCCTATTGTCGATTGACAATCACAATAGATGCAAACTGGTGGGACCGGTTTATCCCATCTTGGAATATCCTCTAGAAAGTGGCGTAGCCATTCAGCTTCTTCACCACATTTGTCTAAAGCTATAAACTCAGATTCCATTGTGGACTTAGAAATCACTGTTTTCTTTGAGGATTTCTAAGATATTGCTGCACCCGCTAGCGTAAAGACATATCCACTTGTGGACTTCAAGTCTTTACTATCAGATATCCAATTCGCATCCGTGTATCCTTCCAGTACCGATGGATATCTCAAGTAGCATAATCCATAGTCACGTGTATACCGCAGGTATCTCATCACACGTACAATAGCCTTCCAGTGCTCATCACTCAGATTGCTGGTGTATTTACTCAGCTTACTTATGGCACAGGCTAAGTCTCGTCGAGTGCAACTCATTAGATATATCAAACTTCTAATAACTCGCGCATACTCGATTTGAGAGTTACTGGAACCTCGGTATTTAGCCAGGTGTGCGTTGACGTCCAACGGCGTCTTTGCTATTCTGACGTCATCCTTGTTGAACTTGTCAAGGATTTTATCAATATAATGGGATTAGCTCAGTGCTAGACCCCCAAGTCTTCTCACAATTTTAATTCCAAGAATTACTTCAGCCAGACCCATATCTTTCATGTCAAATCGCGAGTTTAACATGTCTTTGGTAGACTTGACCATCTTGTCATTGCTACCAACTATGAGTATGTCGTCTACATAGATACACAATATGACATACCCTTAAGATGTGTTTTTTAGATAAACACACTTGTCTGATTCATTAATTTTGAAGCCAGAGTTCATCATTACCTGGTCAAACTTCTCATGCCATACTTTTGGCGCCTGTTTAAGGCCATATAATGACTTAACAAGTTTACATACTTTCCTTTCTTGACCAGGAACTATAAACCCTTCTGGTTGTTCCATGTAGACCTCTTCTTCTAGATCTCCATTAAGGAAAGCCGTTTTTACATCCATTTGATGAACTTCTAAGTTTCGCAAGGAAGCTATTGCAAGTATCATTCTAATGGAGTTTATCCTTGACACAGGGGCATATGTATCAAAATAATCAAAGCCCTCACGTTGATTGTAACCCTTAATTACAAGTCTGGCTTTGTACTTATCAATGGAACCATCTGGTTTCATTTTCCTCCGAAAGATCCACTTAGAACCTAACGGTTTGCATCCAGGAGGTAGATTCACTAACTCCCAAGTGTGATTCTGCATAATAGAATCAACTTCACTTTTAATCGCCTCTTTCCACTGAGGGCCTTCAGACAAAGTCACTGCTTCATGANTTCTAAGTTTCGCAAGGAAGCTATTGCAAGTATCATTCTAATGGAGTTTATCCTTGACACAGGGGCATATGTATCAAAATAATCAAAGCCCTCACGTTGATTGTAACCCTTAATTACAAGTCTGGCTTTGTACTTATCAATGGAACCATCTGGTTTCATTTTCCTCCGAAAGATCCACTTAGAACCTAACGGTTTGCATCCAGGAGGTAGATTCACTAACTCCCAAGTGTGATTCTGCATAATAGAATCAACTTCACTTTTAATCGCCTCTTTCCACTGAGGGCCTTCAGACAAAGTCACTGCTTCATGATAAGTTCGTGGTTCATTTTCTAATAAACATGTTAGAAGATCGGGTTCGATCTCTATCAGAAATGATAGAGTCCCCGATTCAAATTCCAATATATAAGTTAGAAAATCATTACCAAAGGACTTCTTAGTCTGTGTCCTTTTAGTTCGTCTTAGTTCAGTCTCAATTTCGGTTTCATCAATTATACCGGTATTAGACTGATCCGAGGAACCATCATTCAACATTTCATCATGTGTACATTTGGACGAACTTGCTTCTTCCCTCGACTTTAACGAAATATGTTTTCGAAAAATGTTGCATTCCACGATTCCATTATCGTGTTCTTATGTATTTCTGGATTATCAGACCTATACACTGAGAATCGATACGCGCTACCACTGTAGCCAATAAAGATTCCATCAACGGTCTTTGGACCAATCTTTATTTTCTTTGGTGGTGGTGCTAAAACTTTTGCAAGGCACCCCCACACTTTCAGGTATTTATAGGAAGGTTTTCCTATTATACCACAACTCGTAAGGAGTCTTATCGAGTTTCTTTCGGGGTATTTTATTAAACAAATAATTGCTAGATAAAATAGCCTCCCCCCACATATTTTGAGGTAGCCCCGAACTAAGCAACATCACATTCATCATATCTTTGAGAGTGCAATTTTTACGTTCCGCCACACCGTTTGATTGGGGTGTATATGGCGGAGTTACTTGATGCACAATTCCATGTTGTGCACACAATTCGGCGAATGGAGCTTCGTACTCCCTGCCCCTATCACTCCTAATCGCTTTAATTTTGCGATTGAGTTGATTTTCGACTTCATTCTTATACCGAACGAAAGTGTCCAACGCCTCATCTTTACTTTTAAGTAAATAAATATAGCAGTACTTCATGCTATCATCGACAAAAGTGATAACATATTTGTTACCACCTCTTGAAGGCGTTGCTTTGAAATCACACAGATCCGTGTGAATTAAATCTAGTGGCTGAGTGGTTTGTTCAATTGTTTGAAACGAACTTCGTGTTGACTTTGCTTCGACACACGTCTCACATTTGTGGGACAATTCGATGTCAAACTTAGGGATATATTCCATGTTAATTAATTTCCGAAGAGATGTATAATTAACATGTCCTAGTCTACCATGCCACACATGGGAAGACTCACAAACATAGGCAACAGGAGTTTTATTAATTTTCTCAACAACAGTGAGTACATTAAGCTTAAAAAGCCCATCAGAAATATAACCTTTGCTATGAATATTCCCTTTTTGCTCAAGATCAGATTATCAGACTCGAACACCATGCGGAATCCATGTTTGTTCAATAATGAGCCTGACACCAAGTTTTTCCGTATGTCTGGCACATACAACACATCATTCAGCGTGAGCTCCTTGCCGAATGTCATCTTCAGCTTCACTTTGCCCACGCCTTGAACCTCGGATTGGGCGGAGTTGCCCATCCACACCTTGTCGCCAGAAATCTCCTTAAAGTCAAAGAGCATGGCCCGGTTGGAGCAGATATGACGAGTGGCTCCAGTATCAACCCACCACTCCTTTGGGTTAGACCCAACCAAGTTGACCTCTGTCATGACCGCACAAAGATCCATAGCATCTAGCTCCGAGCAGAGAGCTTCTTCCTTCATCTGCTTCTTCTTCTGGGGCTTCTTGCGGCACTCTGAAGAACGGTGGCCTGTAATGCCACAGTTGTAGAATTTCCCTGCGAACTTAGTCTTCGCGGCGCCTCCTTTAGGACCAATTTTCTTCTTGTCCTTATTTGGTTTGGGCCCTTTGGAAGAACCCTTATTGGGTGGATGCTCCACCACATTGGCCTTAGCAACAGCTACTTTCTTCTCACGAGTGAGACCCTCTTCACAAATCCGGAGACGAACAAGCAACTGTTCTAAAGTCATTTCTTTCCGTTTGAGCTTGAGATAGCTCCGAAACTCATCACAAGCCGGCGGGAGCACATGGATAATCGCCGCCACTTGGAATGCCTCACTGACTCCCATTCCCTCGTCACTGCACTCATTAAAAATGAGGATCAATTCTTCCGCTTGACTGACCACGGGTTTGGAATCCACCATCTTAAAATCCAAAACCTTACCGACAACGAATTTCTTCGCACCGGCATCCTCAGCCTGGTATTTGTTGGACAGTGTAGTCCATAACTCCTTTGCTGATGTAGCCCTGCTATAAACAGCATATAAGGCATCGCTCAAACAATTCAGGATAAGATTAAGGCACGTATAGTTATTCGTTATCCATGCCTCCTTAGCTTGAACTGTTGGCTCGTCCGCGTTCTCCCCCACAACAGGGGATCCTCCCTCAAGTACCTCGCAAGGTTGAGGGTGGTCAGCCAAAATAACATCCTTTGTTGCCATATTTTAAAGCCAACACCTGTGAACTTTTCCGGTTCTTTGACAGAGTTCGCAGGCAGCATGACAGTAGGATGTCCGACAGGTGCGGATGTGAAGACACCCGTGTTCGGTCCAAGTGAAGGAATGACCGGTATGGCCGAAGCCATATTCAGTGCGAGTGGGGTGACCGTTGCGGCCGTAGCCGCGGTCGGTCCATTAAACGAGGTGACCGGAGCGGACCCCATAGTCGCGCTCGATCCAACAAAGGTGATGATCGGAGTGGACCCCACGGCCGCACTCGATCCAAAAGGAACATTGATCGGAGTGGTCTGCCCAACAGAGCCACCCAATCCAGCCGAAACATTCACAACCGGAGTCTTGGAACTACTCCCGTTTCTGGTGTGAGCGTCAAAACCGAAACCGTCCATATCCACCATCGTGCACAGATATGACTACTACCTTAAGTTTGTTACAATTCTCACACGGATTACAACGAATGGAGAAGATGAACGGCCCCAGAAAATAAAATTAAATAAAATTCATAATTTATAATTTATTTAGAATATTACAAAATAAACAAAATTGAAAATAAATTTCTAGATCTTCAAAAGGCCTTGTTGTATGAGGACATTAAGCACTGGACTGAAGGACATTATGCACTGGGCTGAACCAAAAAGTATGGGACGAAGACACTGTGAGAGGCAGCAAGGTCACTGAGACAGTAGCGAGGACATTATGACTTGAACCAAATCACCAGTGAAGACATTATGGCCTAGGGCAGAATGCAGCGGGGTCGTTATGAGCTAAACCTGCAAAACAAAACACCGTGGAAGGACAGCGGAGTCACCAGAGCTTACCTTAAGTTAGTAGTGCCCGCCTACCGTACCGGAAAAACGTGGGCACTCTCCTCCCAGGATAAAACCGCTATCGTGTGTGGAGATTGTACGGACCAACCACACACCAACGAACACGAACAACGTAGGAACGTTGGCGACCAAAACTTTCAAGGGGATTGGCGGAAATTCAGTCAAAAAATCAAGAGCTCTCTCTAAAAAAACAAGACAGTTTTTCCCTTTTTTTCCTTTCTTCCTCACGCATGAAGCACACCCAAAAATGGAGAGCCCCTTGATTTGTTTTTCTAACTAAGGAATTTAAAAAGTGTAACTCATACACAATTAACCCTTAGTATTAAACTATTGCATTTGTGGCACACTAATGACATGTTAATGGTGATTAATTAGACATTAACACGTCTGTTACGCTACGCTCCGTTTAAAATTTGTCCCGAATAATTGGAGATTAATGGCCAGTTAACTCCGTAAAAATGGACTAATTTTAAAACAATACATAAAATTAATAATAGAAGATTGGTTCAGTAAAATTGCAAAAATTGCAATCCTTACCATATTCTTCTATTAACGGGTTAACTCTGAGAATCAATTTCTCATTCACCCTCTACCATTTTTGGCGTATAAATTATCAAAAACATTTATCTCATTTAAGAGAACACACGTCTATTAATTAACGGTTAAAACCGTTAGTGAACCTATTGACAAATATACCCAAGTTGGTCCATTTAATGTCTATTAAAAATGCCAAAACTTCCAACATGTTCCTCTTTTTTCATCCTTTCTCTTCTGGATATTTTTTCTTTTGGATTATGGGTTTGAGATTCTAGCGTACAGTTCAAAGTTGAAGCATCGGCTCACAAATCTTGGTTGATTCCTAAGGTGGAGGCAATGGAATCGCTCTAGTGGCAGCGATGACAAATATCATATTTGAGCCAATGGCGGAAATTTTTTAATAGATCTAAACACTTGGGGTGAAAAAGTTTGAGTAGCAATGAAACACTTGAGTGGCGACAAAGATCTGATCAAGGATTGAATTATATCTTAACTGATATTTTCAATGAAGGATGTGCTTAATGGGGGAGGGACGAAAGGGAGGCTAAGTAAGGTAAAGGGGCATTATGGGAAAGTTAATGAATATTTTAGATTTTCTTAAAGTGCGTGTCCAATCAAATCAAGGAGTTTATTTATGGACGGAGGGAGTGTTTGTTTATGCATTCCCAACCTATTGAAGTCATTTGACTACAAGGTCTTTAGCTAGTGTTGAACTTTTGTTCCTAAAGCAGAAGTAATATGTACCGTAAAACAAAATATGTATTGTAAAACCAAGGATGGAGCCACAGATTTTGTGGAGTCGGATAAAAATATACAATAAAACCACTAAATGAATACAAAGTACAACAAAACCACTAAAAAAAGATCCTTTTCCTATAGTGAGAATCAAAACCCACTTGCAAAATGTAGCACTACACCCTCTTGCCAACTAATAACACAAAACTTTATTTTCCTAGTACTCTGTAATGCATACTATCTCCGTCCGTGAGCATTTGTCTAATTTTGACTTTTTTTGGTCAATCATTTTTAACCTTTGACTTATAATTAAATAAAATATTTATTGTATATTAATTAAATAAAATAATATTTTGAAAATATTTTATATAATAGAACTATTTTTGTATCAATATCTAATATCATTTTTATTTAATTTAACGTCAAAGTTTACCAATTTTGACCAAAAAAAGTCAAAAATAGACAAATACTCAAGGACAGTGAGAGTATATTTTATTTAAACTTTGTAGGTGCAATTGAACCCACTTGACCCAATGGGGCTCCACCATTACGTAGAACTGGTTGTATATTGTACTTCCACGACAAGTGTTCATTTACGAGTAACTAGATACTAATTTTCGTGTAACTGAATAACTTAACACTCATTTTTCTAAAAATCAGTTATGCTTGAAAATGGGTATTCAATTGTACAAGAATGAGTATTTGTGCAGATGTACCGTACATCCATAGGTATGGTATAGGTACTATAAAATGGTTGATGTTGAAAGAAATATCATTGACCCAAAAGCGTTATGTTAGAGATGCTGCATTTGCAAACTACTCATCATTCTCATCATGTATTGACACACCTGGCTTTTGTGTCATAAAAGTCTCTCCCATTCGTTAGGATCGGTGTGTCCCTTCAGTGTCCAAGGACATGACGGCAATTGATAATTTACGCGCGCTAGGGGGCTTGGATCATGTGCATCTTATTAATAAGATTGTGGTCTTATTAAAACTTTGGTGAAGGCAAGAGGTGCATGTGTTTCAGTTTTTATATGGGTATGACTTTACGAGATGTAGAGTGTCTTATGTGTCTAGAATTTTATGGCTTAGGAGTGATTGGACCAACTCTATCTCTTGAGCAACGAGATGATGCTTTCAATAATGTCACGGGGTGAAAGGTAGCAGGTAATTATTTTAGACGTCTCGACCAAATCAAGATTAAGAAATTCAGTCGGGAGCAACCACAACGTGACCGCAATAGAATATCCCGTGTATTGAGTTTTTCCTCTACTTAGGTTTTAGTGGTAGTATTTACTCTGTTCTCTCGTTGTCCTGACGTAGGGTTATGCGTGTAGTTTAGGGGCGGGCAAGAATGTTGATCCCGTTGTCTTGCTCCAAAACATCCATGTCTTGTCTTTAAAATGTCTCGTTTCGTTTGGAATGACAAAATTCTATTACAAATTAAACTTGTACTAAACCAGTTTGAAATGGAATGAGACCAAAACTAATAAAAAGTATCACGTTCTGTCTCATTGTTGTATAGTGTATTTATTACTAAACCCAAGTATGTATTCACATTACTTTTTTATCCAATTTCATAAGGTTTGTGAATTAAAATCTTATTCTTTAAATATTTGTATAAGTTTTTATTGCACTTTTAATTTTGAATTTATTTAAAATATTTTTATAAATTTTCAAGTTAGTTTTTAGGGTTAACACAATACAAATTTTTATGTTTAATGTTATAAAAAGTTTGAATTATAATATTTAATGACTAAACAATTGTATTGATTGACAAGGAGGAGTGCTACTGGAGAGACTCCGTGGAATTCATAGCTCGGCAGCCATGACGGAACGAAGTAATATCACGAAAGAGATCGATTTCTTGATGGACAAGGAGGAGTGCTACTGGCGGCAACGTGCAAAACAACACTGGCTTAGCGCAGGGGATAGAAATACTCATTATTTCCACAATTATGCTTCGCACCGAAAGAAGAAGAATTACATTCAAAAGCTTAAGGACACCAATGGCAACTGGCACGAAGGTAGACGGCTCACCAAACTTGTGTTTGAATTCTATTCTGATCTCTTTGTTTGTTCTGGGCCGCAGGAAGATGGAAGACTAAACATGGACTTCCTCTCGAGCGTTGATCATCTAAGAGTGTCAAGTGAACAAAACGAAACCCTTTTGGCAGCTTTTACAGAGGAGGAGGTGAAAAATGCCTTTTTTTCCATGCACCCAGATAAAGCACCTGGCCCGGATGGAATGAATCCCGCTTTCTTTCAGAAATGTTGGGACGTGGTGGGATCAGACACGACAAGGTTTGTCCTATCTTCGGAGGGGCTCTATTCCACAGGGCCTTGGGGACGCAACGTTAGTTTTAATCCCCAAGAAGAATAAACCAGAAACTGTTAGAGATCTTAGACCGATTGCACTTTGCAACGTGGTCTACAAAATTATCGCTAAAATTATTGCAAACAGAATGAAGCCACTCCTACAAAGCTTGATTTCGGAGAACCAGTCAGCTTTCCTCCCGGGGAGACTCATATCTGACAACATCCTACTTGCCGCAGAGATAGGTCATTATCTCCGTCGGAAGCATGGCAGAACTAATGGTTGGGTGGGGCTGAAACTTGACATGGCGAAGGCTTATGATAGAGTAAAGTGGAACTTCTTGGAAAGCATGCTCTGTTGGCTAGGGTTTGATACTAGATGAATCCGTCTTGTTATGATGTGTGTGACCTCGGTCAGGTACAAAGCACTTGTTAATGGTTCTCTCACAGATGTTTTATGTCCTTCGCAGGGCCTCCGACAAGGTGACCCCTTAAGCCCCTACCTTTTTATTATTTGTGCGGAAGGTCTATCCCTTCTCTTGAGGAAAGCCGAGGAAAGGAAGCTTCTGCATGGGGTTCGTGTGGCAAGAAGAGCTCCGCCTATCTCTCATTTGTTTTTTGCCGATGACAGTTTACTTCTGTTTAAAGCAACGAATGATGAGGCTCAAGTAGTTCGTCAGTGTCTTGAAGATTACGAGCATCTCTCTGGTCAAAAGGTGAATTTTCATAAGTCCACCATATGCTTTAGCACCAACACTCCTAGCACCATGCAGGACCTGTTGACAAATATTTTTGGGGTTAAGAAAGCCGTGGACTTTATAAAGTATTTGGGCCTACCCTCTTTCATTGGGAGATACAAGTCTGAGACCTTTTCTTTCATCATATACAAGATAAGGAGCCGTGTTGGAGGGTGGAGCAAAAAGTTTCTTTCTAGAGCGGGAAAGGAAATCCTACTTAAAACCGTCGCTCAAGCACTACCCCAATATGCCATGAGTGTTTTTCTTCTTCCCATCGGTCTTTGTCATAGAATAGAAGGGATTATGAATCACTTTTGGTGGAGTAGCAAAAGCTCAAATCCAACGGGTATTCATTGGCTCTCATGGCAGTGGATGTCGACGCCAAAAAAATTTGGTGGGCTGGGCTTTAGGAGGGTACGAGACTTCAACATTGCTATGATTGGAAAACAAGGTTGGAGAATGTTGGTCAACCCTGATTCTATCGTGGCAAGAATCTTTAAGGCGAGATACTATCCAAAAGGGGATTTCCTGAATGCGGAACTTGGCTCTTCACCAAGTTTTGTATGGCGGAGTATTTTAGAAGCTCGTCACCTTATTACTAATGGCATAGGTCGACGGATTGGAGATGGACAAGATACTCTCGTATGGGACTACCCATGGGTCTGGGACAAGGACACGCCTTACATCACATCACCTAAACCACCTTTCTGCCCAAATTTCAAGGTTTCTTCCCTTATTGATAAGGAGACTGGCTCATGGAAAATGGACGTGGCGCGGGAGTGGTTCTCGGAAGAAGACGCTATCCGTATCCATCGTACTCCGTTGTCTCCCTCCCGCAAAGACTGCTGGTTCTGGGCGGTGGAAACACATGGAGTTTACACTGTGAAAAGTGCTTACAGGAGGCTGTGCGGGGAAGCATCTCAGGTTGGCGTTTTTGACCGGTGGAGCCGACTTTGGGGGCTGCCGATTTTGCCTAAGGTACAAAACTGTGTTTGGAGATGTTTAAGGGGTGTCTTACCCACGGCCATAGCTCTTGGAACCAAAGGAGTTGTTATTGATCTTCACTGCCGTATTTGTGGTGCACCAGAGGAGTCACTAGAGCATGTTTTTCTGCTATGTCCTTTTGCTCTAACGATTTGGAGGCTCCTTGGCAGCAGGTTAGCTACAGGTTTGCATGATAATTTTTTTGCTTGCTCACTGTCTGCTTTTAGTTCGATGTCGACTCCTGAATTTGCAGGGGTGGCTGCGGGCATATGGGCAATCTGGAAGGCCCGAAACCATGCTTGCTGGGAATTAAAGGTATTTAAACCTGAGATCGTTGTGGAATGGGCACGAGATGTATGCATGCCTAGGACATGAAGTATGTTGCATGGTGGCACGGTGTCGACGTCGACGCACCAGGGGCCTCATCACATGACTCGACCGGAAATAACACGCTGCTTCGTTGATGCCGCCGTGTTTGAACAAAATTATTCTACATCAGTGGCGGCCGCTCTTCTTGATTACACAGGCAGGTTTGTTGGGGGTTTCAACAAATTGGTTTCATGTCCCTTGGTGCCGAGATATGTGGAAACGTTGGCTATTAAGGAGGCGCTCTCTTGGCTCGAGGAGAAGAATATCCATGTAGTCTCGATCTTTTCAGATTGTGCTCAAGCGGTTCATGCCTTGAAGAATGGTGTGTCAGGAGCTCGGTCGTATCTGAGTGCGTTGGAAGATGAATGCAAAAATCTTGCATATTATTTCCGTTTTGTTAATTTTTGTCATATCCCTAGACTTTCAAATATGATTGCACACACCCTTGCTAGATTGGCAATTAACGGGTGCCATGAATGGGGGTCCGACCCCCCGCATGATGTACTGCAGTATCTTTAATAAATGAAATGTTTGATTTCAAAAAAAAATTGTATTGATTGAGAAGTATGGTGAATACAAGTGTGTATAAATAGAGAAGATTTCAAATATATCAAGGAACCATAAATGGTAACTGACTAAAATACAAAGATTACCATAAAGAATATATAACTATTATGATTGCCTAACACCCCCCACCCCCAACCTAAACTCCGTGTAACGAGTGGAAGCTTGGATACTAGATTCTAGAAGCGTGGTGAAGGCAAAGATTTAGTCAGCAAGTCAGATGGCTGATCTTCAGGAAAAATGTGTGACACACTCATGGTTCTAGAGATAACTTGTTCTCTAACAAAGTGAGAGTCAGTCACCACATGTTTCATACGTATGTGAAAAGCAGGATTCTTGGTACAACATATAGTGGATTGATTATCACAGAGAAAGTGTGGCAGATGAGTAAAAAGACATTTGAGACATCCAGTTGTTAAAGAAGCCACTGAAAAGCAAGACATATTGTTTGGTGCTTAACAACTCGACTAAATTTTTAAGAGTAACCCAAACCATAATGATGGGTGTAGCCTATAACTACACCCAACAATTCTATTACTACTCTCGACTCTACCCCAGCACCCATCCCCAACCTTACACCTGCCACGGTACCCCCTCCTTCCAAACCTACCCACCCCATGGTCACAGGTGCTAAACGTGGCATGTTTAAACCTAAAGTCTATGCCCTTAACTCTTCTTCTTCTGCTCCTGTTACTAAGTCTCCCACTTATAAAGAGGTGTCCCAAAATGAATTTTGGTGTTGTTCTATGGGTGAAGAATATTCAGCCTTGACTAAATAGACCACATGGGGTCTTGTTCCCCGACCTAAGGGTCGATCTCCGTGATAAGAATAAACGTGACCGGGGAAGCTTCGAGTGCTTCCGGACTCCAGCAATAAAGAGGTGAAGAAGAGAAGCAAGCACGCCGTCGCTTGAAGGCTTGGGCAGCAGAAGACACGAAGAGAGAGTTTAGGGTTTTCTAATGTTTTCTTCTTACTTTCTCAATTGCTAAGCATGTGTTTAAATAATAAACCCTAACCCTAATTCTAACCTGACGGTTCAAAAAAAGCGACGAGGTAAAGAACCGTAAAGAAACCCTCGAAGGAGCTTATAATACGCTCACCTAGTAAAATCTACGTACAAGAAAGAATATTCCATTAATGTAATTCAAATAATATAATCCCGTTGCCACGTCGGGGTTCTCTTGACCCCGACGCTCCTCCGTTGTCTACATCTCGTGTCTTCCCGTGCCTCCTCGTGATCCGTCCGCTGCTCCCTTCCTTGTTCCTGCCCGAACACGCCATCCACCACTTCCGGTTGATCTCTCAGGTCTCGTGTATCACTCCGATTGGGTGTAAGTGGGTATACAAGATTAAGTGTAACGCTAATGGATCAACCTCGCAGTATAAGGCGCGCTTAGTTGCCATTTAGAATGAACCCAGGCTCGCCAAATGGGGTGTGCAAGAGGTGCACAGGGCCTCAAACTCTAGAGGACTCATATTTAAACCATAAGCTCATTAGTTTATCTCATTCCAATATCTTCTAAAAGGCCTTCAATTAAGTTATCTGTAGTACTTTTGTTGCTTGTTTGACTTCTTCATTCTTCAATTGATTTCTAGGCCGGTATTAATAATGTTTCATTTTATCTAATGTATGTTGCATGCCTGCATCTCTAATTACGTTTTTTTTTTATTTTTAGTTGTTTAAGAACTGATTTGTTCTTTTAATCTATTTTTTACATCTTCGGATGTTTAACAATTGATCTGTTTTGTTTCATTTCTTATTTCAATTTTAAAAATTTACTTTATTTCACTTTTAACAATCTGATTTAGAAATTCATTTTCTCATTGTAAATGAATTATTTATTATTTTGTTTCTTCAATTTTAAACATGCAAGTTAACTTATCACTCTACTTTTGTTTTTTTTTTATTTTTTCAACGTTATTCAACAAAGAGGTTGTAGAAATCAACAAATATTTTTTAATTTGCATTGCACACTTGTATAATGTACTATTCTTAGATTTTATCGCTCATCTGACAAAAAATGATGCTTATTTTCATGGTCAAATTATATTCACTTATTTTCGTTACTCATTTGATAAATTAATATAGTCATGTTACCTCTTGTTTTGTAAATCTTTTGATGTTATTTTTTAAATATGTAATTTTTATTTTTAATTTCCACACTATTTTTCATATAAAATGATTCGAACTGAAAAATAACTTCATTTAAATATTATAATGTGCAACGTAAAAATATTTATGAACGGAAGGAGCATATTATTTTTAATCAAATATCAATATTTTTGCATTTTATCACAATTTTTGCTTTAACTCAAAAGCGTTGGGGCCTAAATTATTAAATTGTGCAGGGTCATCAAAATGATTGAGCGGGCGTGAATGAACCCATATCACTTACTTCAATCCGATGTTTGTGACAAAAAGAAGAGACTTGTTTAGAGAAAAATATCATTCAATACCTCTCATTTCTTGAATATCCTGAGGATGGAGTTCGTCCATTTTTGCATATTCAAACCAAAACCACTAAGTTCAAATCTTGATGATTTCTTTAAACACATGTCGCAAAGTATATCATTTGTAATATCGTGTAAATCTTTTATCAAGTGCAAGAAAAATATAAAGCTGAAATTTTTGATTGATTATATCTAATTAAAATGAGATCTGATCTGAATGTAATTATATTTTAAGATGTTTTTGATCTAATCTAATCTGAACTGGTTCTAATAAGAAAAAATAATAAGTAATAAGAATAAGTTGAAGAGAACATGACCTAATACTCCTTGTCAATTACAACTATCTATACCATACATCCGAATGTACGGAGTTTCTCGTAGATCCACACTAATACTCATTTTTGAGTAATACAATACTCATTTTTAGTAACAGAACACTCATTTTCAGATGATTGAATACCATTTTCGAACGTAACTCAATTTTAGAAAACTGAGTTTCAGTTACTTCAAAATGAGTATTTAGTTGATTGAGAATGAGTATTCAGTCACTCGTAAATGAATAGTCATCACGAACGTACGAGAAACATCCTACAACTGATTGTACAGTATATATTGTGATCAATTACACCATTCACAACACAAAACGTTGCACCTAGTTATCGCGATATACAAAAGAACAAGCCTCTCTTTCTTTCTGATTTTTCCCCTTCTATTGTGTGGATTAACTTGATTCGCATAACTTTTCGTTTTCAATCTAGATTACTATTCCACTTGTTTAAATTAAATTGAGTGGTGCTAAGGTTGCGTTCTGTTCAATTTATTTTTTCAACTTATTACTTATTCTTATTAAAATCAAATCAGATCAAACCAGATAAGATAACAACTTTAAATATAATTACAATTAAATCAGATCAAGCCAGATCTTTAAAAAATCATATCATATCATATAAGGCAAACAGAACACATCCAACACAGCCTAAATCCACCTCTTATTTTACTAAATTCACTCCATTTATAAGAGATTGCAACTTTGTTTTTTCTTTTCTAAACATTACAAGTAAACTTGTCCATTTCATATAGAAAGGGGTGGATATAGCTAAATAAGAACTGGATACCATACATTCACTATTATACTATTATGTACTCCCTTTGTCCTAATTTAAATTATTTGTTTACTGTTTACATGGTCAAATCTTAATCACTTTCTTCGCTCATTTTCATTACACGTTTGATAAAATAATATAGTCATATGACTTACTACCTTCGTCCCTGATTATTTGTCCAGTTTTGTTTTTTTCGGTCAATTATTTTCAGTCTTTGACCATTAAATAAAATATATATTGTATATTAATTAGATAAATTAATATTTTAAAAATATTTGATATAATCATCTAATAAAACTATTTTAGTATCAATATTTAATATCATTTTTATTTAATTTGAGGTCAAAGCTTACCAATTTTGACCAAAAAAATCAAAAGTGGACAAATACTCAGGAACGAGAGAGTATGTTTTATACTCCCTCCATCCCCCCATAGATCTTTTTATTAGCCCTTTTTATTTGTCCCACGTAGATCTTTTCATTACCTTTTTTAACATTTAAAATACCACAACTACCCCCACTTACTTTATTTATTAAACCTTTTCCATCTTCTTTAATACACTCCACCCATTTTCATTAAAGGGTATTTTGGTAAACTTTCACCTTTTTTCAACTCTCCTTAAAAAGCGCAAAAAATCAAAACGAGAAGATCTTAGGGGGACGGAGGGAGTAAAACTTTTGATGTAATTTTTAAATATATAAATTTTATTTTTTAATTCTATCCCAATTTTCATATAAATCTATTTGAAAATAACTTCAATCAAACATCGTAAATAACAAAAGACAACATAAAATAAGATGGAGGGAGTATGAGTTTTCAGCCCTAAACCCCCTAGATCATTCATAAATCTCCAAATTCCAAACAGATACCAAAAAGTGAACCATACGAAGGACCTAAGTGCTTTGAGAAGTTCCACGGCATATCTTGCTCGAAGAATATCACGCATTTAGAAGATGGTCCCACAGCATTCACTACCACATTACCAAATTAAATAGACCAATATTTTTACCAAATGAGCAAAACAACGAATATCGAATGCAGGCATGGGCTATCTTCCGAAATAAAACATTCGAGCCACTAAACAACACTCACAAACTGTTCAATTACAACAACCCATCCTATTTACATAGCGACCTACAATACACATTCGCTCTTTTGAAGACACGTCATACAACTTATTAATAAGAACAAAAAGTCAATCACCATTAACATTTCTAAATATTGCATTTACTATTTCAGTTTAAATAGATCGAAAAATATCCATTTGAATGGTTGGTGGTGTTAATTTTAGATTCGGGAGAACATTTCTCGATGTTGTTGCACTTATGAGGAGCACATACCTTTGTAGATGTTCAAGAAAGTTTTCTCCTCCTCCTAGAAGCGCCCATATGCTCAGAAAGAAAACCCACGTGGCGTAGATTGCTACCGAGGGCTGTCTACAAAACAAAGATAATGTCTTAAAAGTTGATTGCTTTTAAAAAATAAAAATTTAAAAGATTGTTCCTCCATAGAAAAGGGAACGTGAAAGGAAATTTATTAAAAACATGGTAAATATGATGGTTTTTAAAAAACACAAGGCACGAAGGCGGTTTGACAAAAATGTTCCTTATTATTATAGTGACTGAAATGATTGCAGGGGAATAGTCTATATTGTATTTGCTTAATCGCAAGAAAAACGTGTGTGAGATAGTCTCACGGTATTGAGACCAAAGTTATATTGGACGGTACTATCTTATAAAGATGATAATAAACTAACTTTTGTCTGTAAAGTGCTACCTCCATCCCTAAACTAAACCCTTCGAGCAGAGAATTTGTAAAATAAAAACTATGCGGCTGAGATTTATTTGAGAAAAAAATAAATGGACCACATGATATTTTCCTTAAAATGAAATGAAAGATAGTTTAGGGACAGACTAGAAAGGAATGAGAGAAAAATAATTTTGGGACAAGGTACCTGTCCTCAACTCTAGCTCAGGTTCCACTTAAACTGAACAAAGTAGGAAAGGTGCTACAAAAACGAAATAAACAAGTCAACTATCAAAATGTAATAAAAAAAATTCACATGCATGTTCAGGCTTTACAAACCAGACAACCATATTATGATTTCTAAGTTCTAAAATGAATATATATACATATTACTCTGTCCCAAATTGTTGCATCTGTATTGCTTTTCTGTACTTCCCAAATTAAAGTGTATGCTTCCATTTATAGCAAGCATTATGTGGTTTATACTATTTCTCACTCATTTGTGTAAATATCAACCACACAATTTTCACTTTCTTTATACTACCTCTGTCCCTAAATGAATGTCACTTTGCACAAAACGAAGCAAAATCCCATGTTTTTTCATTTTATTTTAAGATTGGTATAGAAATAAAAACTAAAACTTGCATACTTAATTACTATATCAAAAGTTCTACAAAACAAGAGGTGACAAGAATATTTTATTTAATCAATTAATCGATGAAACGCACAAATAAACAAAAGTTACCGTGATTTTGGGATAGTGCAAAGTGAAATTCATTTAGGGACATGGAGTGTTTGTGTTCAGCCCAACTAGATACAACAAATTGGGATGGAAGGAGTACAAAACAAAGTAAAAGAACACCACAGTCTGTAATCTACAAATGCTGTTTGCAGAGTAGTTTATTTATGGACTATATCAAAGGCACTACATCTTTATTAGTGAAGTTAATATTTGATGCACTGGTATATATGCATTGGCATTTTATAGTGAGCCCCATATATCATAATATAATACGGTGTAATGACAAATAAGGGTTTCATCAATTATAATTTGACCTTTTAATCAGATGACATCATGTGGGTAGCGAATATGTGTACAAATGAACCATTAGTTCTTATTCCATCAGCAAAATATAAAGTATGCTGTTTCTCAACGTGTTTTTGTTCCAAAAAAGGTCTACTTCGAAGAAAAGATGCTAATTTCATTATATCTGTATTTTCTTTAATGGAAAAGCGTTCTAAACAAGCTAAATATATTAAATTTAGTTAAACCAACAAATAAATTTAAAAATATATTTAATAATTGATGCACTGGTATATAAGCACTGACAGTGAACCCCATACTCAGATCTCATTGAATAATAATGTCAAATAAGGATTTGATCAATTATGATTTGACCTTTTAATAAGATGGCATCATGTGCCTCACTAAATCACTAATTAAAAATATTAGCTCTCACTAGTTTTAGAATAATATGAAAGGAGCTTACCCACTAGGAAAATGGTCAATGCAAAAATAAGCATTAATCGAATCAAACAACTGAACCGCAATGTCAATGGAGCCTGCATTTGCGGGGGGCAGCGAGCAAGGTTTCCCAAAAGCTGCATATTTAGGAGAATATTATATGTAAACCAATACATTTAGAAAGTATTCAAATTATACCAACAGAAATCTATGGTTTCAAGTCAAGACTGTAGAAAGAAAAAAGATTGGATGAATAGGCACAGGCATACATACCAAAACATTTGTATATATAAACAAAAAGTCCTATTCAACAAAGTGAATAGTGGAAACTAACAATCATAGTAAGAATGATGAAATTTTACCTGACTTATCAAGTTTAATCTCGTCAACCATGCATCTCTGAGCATTCCCTTTGATTGCTGATGATCTTCACATTGAGGCCTCCAAAATTGAGGTTTAGAACCCTTTTCTTTGGGTGTAATCTCAATATGTGACATAGATGTAGCCATTCGCCCATATCCATTATCAATCACAATCTCCAATGCACTGTTATTTCGTGTGTTCTCAGAACTAACCACTATATCAGTTTCACATTCTTTATCATTTCTGGATTGAGAAATTTCCATAATTTCCGGCTCTCCAGAGAAATGAGCTGCCATGTTACATGTGATGACATCTTGATTCAGATGATATCTCTTCACTGATTCAGCATTTACACCAATAGGCTTCATTCTTTCAGGATCCTTTGAAATAGATTCCATAGTGCAACAGACCTTTGGACATTCATCCTTCATTGTTTGTGAGGATCCAGAAAGAAACTGAGCTAAACCATCATATTCATTTTCATCAAAGCTCACCCATAGAAGAGGTTCCTTTCCTTCATTGTTGTATGATTCCCGTAAGGCTACTTCCACACTTGAAATTTGAGTTTCTATTGCAGAAATGAAGTTTCTATGCCTGGTTATTGTAATCTTATTGGTTCGATTCCTATGGCTCAGCATAACAGCCTTCTCAAACTCTTCCAGCTAATGTTGCAGCCAAATAAAACACTAAATTACTGGTTAATTCATCTAAAGAGCCATGTTGGTAATACCACATCAAAGGAAAAAAAGTAAATTATTAAGTAACACATTGATTCAGTTCTGAGGTGGGAGGGAGAAGAAGACGCAGAAGAAGCATACCTGCCATTTTGCTGTGCCTAAAGCAATATGAAGCTCTCTTCGGGTTTCATCTAAATACTGAGGTGCAACCCCTTCTCTCCTCTCTCTTAGCCAGGTTCTATAAGCTGACTCCATTCTGACACACAAAAAAAGAATCAAAAATTAAAATTCCCAACATATTTCTACTGAATAGTGAGCTAACTCAGCTAAGTACATGACTCTGACTTTTTTCTAATACAAGCAATTCAACATTTAAGAGTGTAAAATGTGCACGATACTTAAATATTTCAATAACCGGGACTTCCCCTAATTCATTCCTTGTTCCTTCCAGGATTTTATCAAGCCTCAATCAGTTATCTCATTCGATTCAGGAACTCTTTTTATTCAGAACATCAACAACCTCACTAATAAGAATCGCTCTTGTGCTATGCGTAAAAAAAACTCCTGTTGACTTCATCTAATCCATTTTTAGTTTCTTCTTATTCTGTTCTTTCTTCACTTTTACTTTTCTCCTAGCAATTCAACAAAATGTTCCGGAAAATTTCTACTCAACCTCCCACCAAACCTAGAACGAAAGAAATCCCGCTGCCCGATTAAGCAAGAAAAAAAACTCAATCTACGCATAAAATCAATGTTAATTAGAAACAAAAACAAAATCAAATGAAAACGCATACATATCGGCAGATTGCTGGACTTCCTCTGCAGCGGAGAAGAAGATATCCTTCTGCCATAAATAAAAACTGTTTGTAACCACCATCTTTTCTTTTCCTTTATCCCCAATTCAATAAATCAGCATCCGATGCAACATCTTACGGAGTATTTCTATATATTTGGGGGGGGGGGGGACGATGAAGTGCGCAAGTGAGCTTATTCTTCCTATGTCTCTATGTTGAGAAGACGAAGCAAGGAGGAGAAGGAGAGACGCTTGGCAAATCTCTTCCCGGAGTCCCCTCTCCCAATCCTCTGGACTTTACAAAAAGGTTCGAATACACTTAGGATGTTTGGATTGAGGTAGTATTAGGTAGGTAATTGAAGGTAACAAATTAAAAAATTGTGTTTGGATATGTATTAGGTAATGCAAGGTAGGTAAAACAATAAAATTACTTAAATACCTTGTTTTTGTTTTTCCTTTATTACTACCTTGTATTTATCTCAATTTAAGTAATAACAAAATAAACTCCGTCGAATCAAAATTTAACACAACTCACTTTAATAAACAATAAAAAATTGCATATTTCATTTCAATAAATAGCAGAAAAACAAAACCAATGAAATGTAAAAACGAACATAAAAAATATGATATTTCACAAAAAAACAAAAGAAAAACAGAATTGAAACTCCAAAAAACCAAAAAAAAGAAAAGGAAAACATAAAAAACATAAAAGAAACAAAAATAGACAACAAAAGTAAATCGCAAAAAAAAGGAAAAAGAAAACAGAACAAACACAGTAAAAAAATTGCAAAATAGGAGAAAAAACGCTAAACAAATCTGGAGAATCGAAGAAATAAGAAGAAGAAGAAGAAGAAGAAGAAGAAGAAGAAGAAGGGCAGGGCGGAACTTACCTCCAAGATCTGCCATGGGAGAGGAAGAAAGGAGAGAATAGAAAAAATAGAAAAGAAACAAGAATCAGAAGAAAGGTGAGAAAGGAGAATCGAAGATAGGAGAGAAGGATAACAGCGGAACAAATAAAAGTTACTTAGCTTGATCGCGTTTTAGGCAGTAGTCATTTTTACACTGTTGGGCGGTAACCTTACCTCTCTTCACCTCCCCCTACCTAGCACCATTTTCTCTCCCAAACAAGGTAAGGTTTAAATTTGACCTTACCTTACCTCCACCTACCTCAATCCAAACACACTGTTAGATTTTAAATGATTTTTTAAAATCCGGATTGAATAACCACTGACTTTTAAAATCCAAAAAAATCTTGCAGAGTTTGGATTGAATACACCCCCCTTAGTCAACAAAATAATTGTGAGATACACATTTTAGTTATAATTCAGGGTCACAATAACATTTTTACTTTATTTATACATCAAATTTGTCACACGACATCGAATTGGTTAACTTGGATTAATGATCGGAAATGCTTGGTTCACAAATAAAATGATCATAAATTTCACAAACTTGCTATATGTGAACTTCAATAAATAAAATTAAATAGTCTAAAATAATTTTAAAATGAAAATTTAAATCATAAATAGTAAGTTTGTGAAGTTTGTGAGTATCTTGTTTGTGAACCTAGCATTGCTCTTAATGATCAGATCATTTATAATTAAAATAAAAATATTTAAATTTGTTTTTTCTGTTTTCCGTCTACTTTTCAATGTCATCGTTAATATGCTCACACATTTTATTCTTTATTAAAATTAATAGATATTTCTTAATTTTTGTAGATGATAATGCTTACGGCAAAGCTCTATGTAGGGATTAAAATATGTTTTTTAATTTTACATTCATATTTAATTAAATGAAATAAAAATTAATTTCATTTCAGCATATCGTAAACAATTCAAAATTTATTTAGATGTGAAAATTATTTATTAATTAAAAATATTATTGTGATTGAAGTGAAAAGTATAAAATTAAGATTATATATTATTATAAAACGGTGGGGTTCTAGTGACACCAGAGTACGGTGACACTCCACAATTTATAAAAAGATGATGTTTCTTCCATAATTAAATCTATTCAATGCTTTCACATCAAACTATTGCTTTGGTATATATATCTTGTCATAAATTAAGTGACATATTAGATGTCACAAATTGACTGACATATTTGATGACAAAAATGCCACATAAGCAACACAGCATATCGGCTTCTTAGATACCAAAATTCTTCTGTGAACCTAAAATCTATACTCATTTTATGGATTTTATTATATTTGTAGGGCTAAAGAAGTGGTCGTAGCTTTTACAAAAAAAATATCCATGTTAAGCATCACTCTCTTAGTTTTTTTTTTTAATCCCAGCGGGCAAACCACCAAACTCGGTGGGGTAAGGTCTAGGCAACCCTTACAAAAATTTAATGTTAACAGAATAATGAAAGTCGGTTACACCCTAAGAGGGGGGTGAATTAGGGTGTTTGAAAGTTTTTCGCAAAATAAAAACTTAGGCGCAAAAGTAGTAGCGGAAAAGGAGCAAGAAAAGTATAAAAGAAAGAAATACGACACAAACGATTTTATACTGGTTCGGGAACTCCCTACTCCAGTACCTCGAGGCTCCTCCTCAAGGATTTAACCTCCACTAATTTGTTTGGCTCCACTAAGAAGACTCAAATGAAGTTTGGCAAACAATCCTTGCCAATAAGCAAATGAGATTTTACACCGGCTATCTCAAACGTTTACAACCGAAGATTTAGAGGCTATCTTCAACCTTACAATGAGGATTTAAAGGCTATCCACACCTTTTACAAAACAATAAAAGATTGTTGTTACTTCTCTACCAAAATGATAACCAATATGAGTTGGGTAGGAGAAGAACGAAAAATTAAATCAACAACAACAAAAACCCATAGACAAGATATAAAATAATGAATAACAAATGCCCTTGTGTGTATGTGTGTGTATAAAAATAATGAAAGCTTTATACTCCAAAAGAATGAGAAAATATGAACAAAGCTTTAAGAAACACTCAAGAATAGAGAATTAGGCTTTAGATATAGTTGGGAAGTTGTTGTATGATAGATGAGACTTGAGTTAGAGGGGGTTTGTATAAGAGTTTGGAAGGTTAAAATATGAGTTTTTAACGTTGAAGACCGTTAGGGAGTGATTTGGGGTGATTTGAATTTAAATTGGTAATTAGCTAGAGTAATTACAACGGTTACGGTACCCTTCACGGTAGGGGTAGTACCGTCCGGTACCTAGGTACCGTGACCACGGTACAGCCTATCGCCAGGGGTACCGTGTAGGCCATAAAAGTAGTTCGGCTCTGGCGGTACCTAGGGTCAAACGGTCTGGCCTACCATCCGAAGCCTACCGACGGTACCCTGGTACCGTGACACCGGTAGGGGGTACCGTGTACCACCTAAGTGAAACGTACAGCGGTACGTTCACTTGGCTATCGACGGTACCCTGGTACCGTGAACACGGTAGCCAGGTACCGTAGGTCCTGTGATTTTTCCAAAACTTTATTTTTATGTTCTGTTTTCAAAATAACCCCAACTAAGAATATATTTGACATTTTAGAAATAATATTTTGAGTGAAAGGGCATAAGTAAATCATTAAATATATCATTACCTTTACACAATTATTTCTAAACTCGTATGAGTACATCTCGGTGATGCTAATCAAGTTAATAGAGATTTGGTGTTTGGTTTCTTCCTGCAAATGATGTTAGTAGCATTGGAAGACTTATTTGGCACATCAAAACAGTTACGGGGTACGACATTCAAGGCCAACAAATAAGTCATTGTGACACATTTTATCTTGATCAATTGCATTCTATAATATTATTTAAAATATCATAAAACTAATTATATCATATTAAATATTTATATATAATATATTTTTAAATGAAATCACAAACATTTAAACACCATATACCATAAATTATCTAGTAATTAAGTCAAACAATAAAATCAATATACTTGAATTACCAAATTATATCTAACATGTTTTCTCTATTTTAGCACTTTTATAGTCCAGTCATCTCTTGTTTTTTTAATTGTAGTTCTTAAAATATTGTTCTTTACTTTAAACCAATTTTTAATTAAATAGAATAAAAAAGAACTTCATTAATTCAAACGTATCATAAGAAAGTATGAAATTTATTTAGAGGAGAGTATCTCGTTTATTATTTGAAATTTTTTATAAATGGAAAAAAAGATAATAGTAGGAAAAAATGTAATACCCCAACTCGCATAACCTGAATACAATGGATTAACGGATCATTTTGCTACTAAATCAGTATCCACAAATAGTATTTTAGAAACAACAATATAAAAATTATATTACAAATAACATAGTTGAAAATATTTTTCAAAACATTATCAATCATTATCGGAGAATTCATAATAGTGCGGAAGCAAATATCATTGTTTGATCATTACCAAAATCCATTCATTCAAAATTCGATTTAACTGATCACTAGTTTGAGCCCACATTTGTACATCTCATCCGTCTTGCTGCTTCTCGGGGAACATTCTATCTTTAACATAAATCAAACCTGCGTGTAGCAAATCAAACATATTACACGCTCAGCGGTGAAGTTGAGTAAGGATATCCAATGCATCGAACATCCACATAAATTGAACCTCAATTTATAATCAAATCAAATGGTATCATGCAAGCAAGAGGCAATTTCAATCATTCATCGTCACACAGTTATTATTTGCTTAACCATTCGTTATCTTTTCATCAGGACACAAGAGTTTCATCCATTTATTTCATATCATAATCAACATATCACTTTCAGATTAACAACAAAGATTCTTAATCCCTCATAGGTTAAGATATTTCAATATTCAATATTCATTAAATATCATTTATGATATTATCCACAATATTCTGAAACTATTTCTAGTTTAAGGCCAAATTAATAATAAGACTCTAAGATTATTCTTAATCTAAGGTAGAATAACCAGACACCCAAACTAATCTAGTCTAAGGAAAAATGAATAACCAGACTCTTAGACTAATCTATTCTAAGGCAAATTAATATTGATAACTAGACTCTTAAACTGTAATCAGTTTAAAGCAAATATATATTAATAACCAGACTCTTAAACTATAATTAGTTTAATGCAAAAAGATAACCAGACTCTTAAACTATAATTGGTTTAAGGCAGAAAACTGAACAGCGGACTACTCATTATCGGGTTGGGTGGTACCCCCAAACGAATAGATATTCAAGTTCGATTTATGGATCTTGTATGTACGTTTTAACCCGAGTGACCAGACATCATGCCTGCAAGGCCTAACTAGATTGGTCATGTGGGGTCATTCTTAGAGTTCATCTAGATAACCTTAATAATCAATTAATCAAAATCATCATCATTAAATTATTCAAAACATAATCATCGTCATAGTAATATTCACTAATTCCAATCATCCACGTTTAGTCATACAAAATATAGTTATACTTTGAACAATCATAATCCCTATTACATTTATCATGTAGTCCATTTTATTCATGTTAACAATGTATCAATATTCAATCAAGGTAAAGTCATCACCAACATCATTTCATTATGGAATAATCATCATTATTATTACAATATGTTAGAATAATAGACCAACGCTAGAGGGGGGGTGAATAGCGTTTGATCAAGAAATCGCAGGAATAAAAATGAATAAGTGAGAAGTAAAGAGAAAAGAAAGAGGCACACCGATTTTACCCTGGTTCACCACAACTTGTGGCTAATCCAGCCTCCCGAGAGACTCTCTCGAGCTACACTACTATCTCGTTAAGCTTAACGGTGCTTAACAAACCCGTACAACTTGAGAGTTCGAGTCACACGAACCTCAACGAACCTTCGAAGGAAACAACCCTTCCTTCGAACAACAAGAGAAATACCTTCTCTTGTCAAGTGTCTAAGAACACTAAAAACACTCAAGAACAATACTCTCTTTTTAGAGTGGATATTGAGTAAACTAAGAACGCTAGAGAACACGACACAAGCTTCACAAAAATGGCTCTCAAAAGCTATGAATAATTAAAGAATGATTTGCAATGAAAGAGTAGGAGTTGAGAAGTAATGTGATATGTAAAACAGACCCAAACACCTCATTTTATAGTAGAAAAATAGGCTCCAACGGACCAAAGTATTTGAGGGGTGATTGGCATAATTTGTGGGATTTGATGAAATTTGGATCTGTTGAAAATCACCCAGACAGCGCTGTCTTAGGCCTGGACATCGCTGTTCTAGGCTTGCGGTTTGAAAAATGGGAAGCAACGGTCATGCCAACAGCGATGTCTAAAATCCCTACATCGCTGTTTTGGCTGTTGACTTCCAAACAAGGAAAGTTTTAGCCTTAAATTCCTTCCAACGGTCAGGTCTCTACATCGATGTTC